TTTTCACAACCGCCTTAGTGAGAGAAAGTTCACTTAGCACCACAAAAATTAAGCTAAAATGTGTGAGTGCACGTGCATTATAAATAACCTTTTAAATACAAAATTACCCAAATTATTATTTATGGACCATGTCTGCATTATTCCACACTTACCTATTTTCCTCTGGCTTACTTTCATAAAGATTTTCTTTTTTTATGTATGTATGTTCAACTGCTGCTATGGCAACAAGTAAATATTGCCATGTCATGCTTTTCATCTGTGCACAAGTGGTTTCCAGGAGGGCACAGGGTAATGTTATAGTTAATACTATACTGCGTATGTATGTTGATTATCACATTTATTGGCAGCACAGCTGTATGGAGCAAGAAACTTAAAATGTCATCTGGAAAATAGATTTCAATTTTATAAATTGGTCTCCACACTTGAGTGCTATGCTGACAAAGTATGTGCTAACAAAATGCATTAATGGCTCTCAAGCATGTTGCCAGCATCTTTATATTCACGCAGTTACTGCAGTGTGCAGCATGATTACATTTGCATTAGTTGGGCCTTTGGTGACCCTCATCCTCTGTTTCAACTTCATGCACTGATTCGGTGCCAGACAATCTGCTCTAAACTTTACATTTTAAGATGTCTAACAATAATGATGAATATGCAAGAAATACTCAGTGTTTGGCGAATTGGCTCAGACTACACTTTTGCTCATGGACATCCTCCATTACGCTTTTACCAGTAGTTCAGTCGCCACTTCATAGTATTACTCAGTCTCTCCACAGATGCTGGTGACCATATGAATGTTGGACATTAGTCATATTCCTTACTGGTTTGGATTCCAGTTGTGTCTGATGTTAAATAAAAGGGTGTCATTGAAAAAAAGCAAAAAAAAAAAAAAAAAAAAAACGTCTGGAAAACTTCTTGTACCAACTTTAATGGGTACAGGCTCTTTCAACACACACATGCTTTTCTTGCAAATTCTTGAGTTTTTCCTTCAATTACCAATGTTAAACAATTCAAAGTTACTTTAAAGGTATATTTAGCTGTTTTTGAGGTTATTGAAAAGAAAAAACAATATCCTGCAATGATAAAATGTATAAATGTAGAATTTTGTGGACCCCCATCCCCCTTACTTTAGAGTTCCCGGTCACAATGGACCAGTCAGTTTTAACAGCTCTTAAATTAACACAACAAACATTTTTCACCAACAAATTCAGTTCAATAGGTCGTTCAGTGGGTCTTTTATTTATTTGGTCATTCACTGGGCCATTCAGGGGGTCAGAGGCCGAAAGAGGTGGGGGGTGGATTCCCATTCATTTCCTATGGCGGACACTTTTGACCGGGAACACCACATATATAACAAAGTTGATTAAAGCACTCAAAACTCAATGAAAGAGGTGCTCGTTACTTTTATATGTTCAAGTTCATAGTGTGGAGGATGTCATAAGGCCTTGAAGCAATCAGATGTAAAACACAATATTTATGAGTGTTTTAATTTGTAAATCAGTCAGATTTAATCCGAACACGACAGGAAGGTTTCAAGAATACACAGGAACAGATTTGTGGAAACCGAGATGTTGTCCCATCATCTTAAACACAGTGGCCGAGATGGACATGGCCGTTCCACCTAAGTGCGTATTGAGTTTGTGGCGAGGGAACGGCCACATACGCGTAACCTGAAAAAAAAAAAAAAAAAAAACAAGAAAAGGAGATAACTCACAGGTAAGAAAACAGAATTCAGTTGACTGCAAGCTGTTATCTACTGCCATCTGGTGGTGAGATTTTACACGCTCTACCTTTAATTATGAATGTTAGACTATTCAAGGCTACATGAATTGCATTAAATTTAGGTTTGAATCGGGAAGCTGCTCACGGATTAAACACAAAATCATCTGAATACAAAATTTTGCAAGTCGTTAACTTTGCTGACAAAGCCAAACATTAAGCAAGTTCAACAATATGAGACATATACTGGTCAGCCTCTTCTGTTATTCCCTGATATCATTTGTAAAACTTTTCCGAGTCTCAGTCTGCTCACAAAAGAAGGACCAAGTTGAAAAGCTGAATCTGGCAAGTTTTTATTGAGCCAAGTTTTGGTCAGAAGAAAGCAACAATTCCTTATCTGCTTTCAGTCTTAGCCAGAGAAGCTCTAATTTATTGTCCATGAAGCTAAAGCTGGCTCAGTCAGTGTACCATAAAAAGTACTTTGAGTGTAATATTTGGAGGTAAAATGGTAACATATTATTGCCTTAACTCTTCTGTTGCCATTTCTGGACAGTTGAACTAGATATAAAAACACAGCATTGACACATTATCAGCTTATAAAAAAATGTATTATGAAACCAGTGCTTGCTCGCACACCCTACACATGGCGAGAAATGTGAAATATTAAAACCACTTGTCTAATATTGTGTAGCGCTCCCTCATCCCTACAAAACAGCTCTTTTACCACCGTTGCACTGATGAGGAACCTCCTGTGTCCTGTGGTGTCTGGAGCCATTCCTCCTTTGTTTTATAGCAAAGTTTGAAAAGGAGTTTCTTTTTGTGGCACACATATAAGTAACATCCACAAGAAATCCAGAGAGACTGCCCAAGACGATCAATGCTCCTTATTTCTCACGTCAGTGGTTTTAATATCTGACATTCATCCTCCTATTAACTGCGTTTTTATTCCACTGACTTCTGAGAAAATCTCTTTATCAACTAAATATCCCAGTGTGTTCACCAGATGCTAACTTTCTCAGTTGATGCTCAACAGGTAGTTTGAAATACATCTATCATTGGATTTTTTTGAATAAAACCAGCTGCCTGCATCTGGAAAAGAGAGCTTAAAGACTCAAAAGAAAAGCTCTGCAAGAGCTTGAGAGTTGAATAATAATTCTTTGTGAGTTCATCATGAGCTATACCCTTCATATCACACACTGTCATTTTTGTTTAAAATATGGACTACTTCAGCACTTTTTTTTTGGTCTTTTTAAATATTTTTCAGGATGTGAAAGTTTTCTGAGTGATTAAACAGCGGCTGATTTGTGCGTGAAGCAGAATCTAGGACAAAGTGAAATGTTTGACAAGAGTTTGACTCGAAGAATTCTTTTGTTTGCAGGTTTAATTTGTTAATTATGGTTATGCTCCGAGCTTCATTGCTTATACCTACTAATAGGCAGCAGTGTTGTGCTCATTAGCGAGTGGAGCACAGCAAGTCCCCATTTCTCCTGACATCCTGACTGTGTAAAGCAGTAGGGGAGATGGTACTGGTAGCCATCGCTCAGCCTTAAGCATTCATTCCCACTAATACTTTGTGTTTTATAGAAAAGGGAAAACAGCCTTCAGTCTGCCTTACAGCGCTTTTTTTTTTTTTTTTTTACATGTGTTACAGGGAATTAGTGATACTTAATGAAGGATAAGCTTCCAAGTTTTTGTGCAGTCCTGCTGTTTTTCTCTGAAAGAAATGGGAGAAGGAAATGTAATTTTTTTTTCTCATTTTAATGCTATTTTTAATTATTTGCTACCACTGCTCGTTCTATTTACACATATCTGTTAAAAATTCCAGTGGTAGCACTGATTTAGTTATTGCCCATGCTTCAGAAATATTAAAGACGCAGCGCAGATGGTTTTAATTAGCCTGGCATGCACCATAGTCAAAAAGAATTAAGTTTAATGCGTGTTTGTTTAGAAACTCGAGCAGGGTGGAACATAATGGGACAGTATTCACAGACCTGCATTTATTTTAAAAAGGAAACATTTTTACGTGATAGTAACGTTAGTATTGCTACATGACAGGTTTTGGCTTTAACAGAGTGCTCCAACATTTCAGCAGATCAATTCTCTTGTAAATGTTGCAACAAATACTAAATCTTCACAAACGCCATCAGCTTTGTACTCACTAGTTATTCCTAACATGCAGTCACGGCTAATGAGCACATCATAGAAAACAACCTGAGGCAACTGCACACACACACAGCACTGAAGCATCAACAAACACGCTTCCCCGGTACAGCGCAGGCCAGCTTTCCTTGACCTTCTCTATTACTCATTTCGGGGAAATGAACAGCAAAGAACTGGGTTCTGTATTCCAGATGAGCACATCATAGGTTTCAGGAGAAACCGTGTACGATGTGGGGGGGCTAATATAAACATCTCTCCCGTAAAGTTCGAGCTGCCCAGTGCGATTTGGGTTTTGTCAGTTATGACCAGCAGCTCAACATCTGAGATTAATGACGCTAAGAGAGCACCGTTACTCACCCGCGAGTGGATCTTTTTAAAAACGGGCTAAATCCTGCTCCATCTACAGAGCAGCTGAGGTATTACCTCAGGCAACGGCTATTTACTGGAGATTTCCTGTTTTCCAAAGTGAAGAATCTATGATTCATATGACTTCCTGGTTTTGATTAAAGCGCTAAAAGATTCTTGATTTAAAGCATATTTTTGTCCAGAGCAAATTTTATGTTGCAGATGGGGGACAAATTAAAAAAACAAAACAAAACAAAGCAGGAAGTTTCTTGGTGTTGGGCTATCACGTGGTGTTAGAACAGCTTTACTGTGTTGGCATTGACTCTACTGAAGGGATGGTTGAGATCTGGCCACTGTGAAGCTGATGATCTAAATCATGACCCATCATGGCCTGTAGATGGGGATGTTGTCATTCTGGAAGAGATCACTCTTATGAGTACAGAAGTATTGTTTTGCAACAATGTAATAATTGTGATTAATTTTGTATTGGTCGGACTCTAATGTGTTATCCCTGTGTATATCCTGTTAGATTTGACCCCTTTCTGATTGAAATATAAAACTGCTTTTTTTAGATGTAAAAAATCCAGGTTAAATAAAGGTCTGGACTGAGATCACCAAAAAGGAATAATGATATAACAAGATTAAGCTCAAACACTCAAAGTTCTTCTTGCCCCATTAAAGGGAGGATTTTCTTAGTATGGTCCCCAAAGTTAAAGTTTGTTTTTTGAGTTTTTCTTCTTCAACAGAAGATAATTAAAACTACGGTGGTACAGCAGTAAGATAGACAAAAACAAAATTGTGGTCCATTTTATTTCTGTGGATATTTGACATTCATTTACAGCAACAGGGACATACTGTACTTAAACTGCACTTTATGGTTTTCAGGTTATGTTCCTTTTCAGATTTGTACAACAGCGGCACATATTTGACTACTGAACACCATCGATAACTTTCAATACAGTGCTCTGTACAGTGGTGTGAAAGCAGGAGAGGCATGCTAGTTTGTAGCGCCACGCTGGAGAAAATGTAAGTGCAGTCCAACTGTGCTTCATTATTTGTTAATAACTATATTACCTTTGTAAAATCAGCACCAATCACATCGCTTGTAATGGTATCGCCAAAATACATTCAGAATAGCACCTTTACAATTTACGTGACAACAAAACGTAAGAAAAGAGTACAAAAATATTAAGATAGATGAAAGACTGTTGTTAGCTAGTTACAATGTGCCATTACAATGCCAGTAGATCCTTAATAAGTCAAACTCTCTGTGACAGGAAGTTTTATTAACCAGTGATGTGTTCAAATTCCTTAAATAAATTAAAATAATAGGGGTAACATTGTACAGTTTCGTAGCTGTGATAGTAGCTTAGCAGCAGGCTTGTATTTCCATGCTGCAAACATGTTTTTATATGAAAAGGAATTTCTCCCAGTAATAGAAATGCAACACTTTAAACTAACATACAAAATGTTTGATAGAAGAACATAAAAAAAAAGTTCCTGATACATTCTGAATTTTCAGATGTGAATTAGATGCGCTCTCTGCATTTTTTAACCCCAAAGAGGGTGCAGGGTAATGAAATGAACTTCAGATGTCTTCCGAACAGGATGTTCTGCTCTGTGATCAAAAGATCCCACAGAAGCCAAGATTTGGAACAGGACTTTTCCTGCTATGATTCAGTCGCAAGTCAAAATACACAATAATTATCCACTTGCTAACATCCTGGGGGGGCAGAGTCATGTGGAAAGCAGCATGGACGATCAGTAGGGGTAGGGTGAGATGGAAATGTAGATGATAAAGATGCTCTGGTAGGTAATGCGGCCTTGCAGCGATATAGTGGTGGCCTGCACTTTGAGCCTCACTAGTCCAGGTCTGTCCAGAACCTGCAGGGTGTAGATGATCCCTCTGCCGGCCTCGTCTCTGATACCGAACACCTGCCCCAGCCCGCCTGCCTCCGGTTCTTGCTCAAGTATCGTAAAGGATGTGCGCTCCTGCAGGATGCCAGACTCTGAGAAAGCTGACAGTCGTACCACGTTGTGATTGGCTGGAATGCCGGAGGGAAGAGTGAGCAGCTTGTACTGCAGGAGCAGAGGAGAGCCTCCGGTGGCGCAATCCAGCGAGCAAGGCCTGTAACAGGTCCTTTAAAAGTCGTCCGGAAAAAAAATATATTATTAATTCATATAATGAACATAATTTTGCATTTGTGTGGTATCTACAACTTAATTAATAACCCTGTATAACACTTATTAATGTTGCAAATTACCCGGGTCTTCTTCCACTCTGGTAGGATGCAGGGCAGGGTGTATCCAGACACTGGTATCCTCCTCGGGTGTTAAAACACATCTGGTTGCGTCCACACTGGATGCCTTGTTCTACACACTCATCAATGTCTAAGAGAAAGAGAGGGGATAAGTATATAGCTGTAATAATTTGAGGGGAAGGTGGAAGTTTTAAAACAGTTTAAGGAGACATTTACCTTTACAGCTTCGGCCGTTGGGTAGCAGCTGGTATCCAGGGGGACACAGGCACTGGAAACTACCAATCGTATTTCGGCATTCATGTTGGCACGGTTTCTTGAGGAGGCACTCGTCCACATCTGTAAGTGGAAAACAACAGAACATTGTTTGGGCTTATATTGTAAGAATCCTTTGTTATTTTACATCTTTTGGAGTCTTTTTGATTTCAACTTACCAACACACTTGCCGTCTCTGTTGGTGTACCCGATAGGACAGCTCTGCCTGGTGATGCGAGATACTCCATGGGAACGGGAGAGGATTGGCCTGCCGAGGGATGACACCAGCTGTGGGACGAGTCTCGCCCTGACTCTGGTTCCGTTTGTGAAGGTGTGCCCTCTCTCAAGCCCTGCGCAGGAGCGCCCATCGCCGAGTAGCACTGTCCCAGGGGGGCACAGACACCTGAAGCTGCCCGGCACATTGCGGCACTGATAGGCGCAGGGATTCGGCGTTTGCAGACACTCATCGATGTCTGGAAATGTAAAACAAAAGTTAAGTAGTGATTTGTGCTTCCGTTGGGTGTGATGTTTAGGGTTTTTTTGTTAAACAAACGTAATAATTACCCAAACATGGAAGCCCAACTCCCTGAGATCGATAGCCTCTGGGACACACGCATCCATAACCTCCGACTGTGTTTCGACAGATCTGAGTGTAGCGACACACGTGACTTCCATCCTGGCATTCGTCAATATCTGAAAAATGTCCAGATCAAAAAAGGATGATTTTCACACAGTCATATCCAGCTATACCTTAACGATAGATTAAGGTTAATGGTTATATTGACAAAACCGATAACTTTAGTTTGCTTTTCCTCACTTTGGCTAAATAAAGGTTGATTTAAGCCTGGATTATGCATCTTGTTCTTGTTGTATTTTTCCTGAAATTATCATTTTCTCTTTATTAAGAAAACAAAAGACCCCTTTACACACGCCTGTGTTTAGTGATTGCTCCTACGCTGCAAACACTGCCTCTTTTACGTGAGTGCACTTGGCTAGATTGGGACGACCTGAGCTAATATGTGTGTTAATGCTGACTGCGATTGCTGACATGAAGCCAGTTAAAGAGAAGATATCCTGAGTACATTAAAGCTGCCGTGTAGCAGTGTCTACCATAAACTCTGCTGCATCTTGTTACAGAAGTTTTCTTTTCGCAGCAGTGGATTTACAGTTCATAAAATCTTTTGCTCTCTATTTGGCCTCTTTTGACCAGTGATCAGTGGTTCTTTTGGCTTTCAAAAGGATTACAGGGGGTTTCATTTCCACTTATTAGGAAAACCATTTTAGCAAATTCACGATACAGTGTTGAAGGGTTGGAGGTAGAAGCCAAATCTGAGTCTTTCAAGGCATGAATGAGTTCATGCTGTCAGTCAATAAATTAAGCAGTGATTAATGAACAGGAACTGTTAAATGAAGCAATGTCTAAATAAATAAAGTGGATAAAAGCAGCTTACCCACGCAGGCCCCATTCTCTGCTTTGGTCATTCCAGCTGGGCAGCTGTCGAAACACTGGTATCCTCCTTCTGTGTTACGGCACTGCTGGTGAGCCGGGCATACGTTCCTCGTGCATTCATTGATGTCTGCAAAAGTTAAACCGTCACATCGGAGCTGTTAGTAAATATTCTGCAGGGCCCGCATTACTGTGGATGCTGTATCAATGGAAAATACATCCAAGGGGAATAAACATAAGTATTTTCAACATTATAAGTATAAGAAGCAGTGTTACAACAAAGAACACAAACTGAACACAAACTTCCTTACATTTTGTGCTAAGTTTGTATATAAAAAAAATGCAGTTGGGTGTAGTCTTATCTTTTGAAATCTTCTGTAGCATAACTTAATAAGAATTCAAACAAGTTAAGGCAGGCAGTTAGTTTTTGTTCTTTTTATCTCAACTGACCAATGCAGTGACGTCCTGACAGCTGGTATCCAGGGTGGCAAACACAGCGGTAGGAACCCAGAGTATTGAGGCACTGGTGCTGGCACGGGGAGACAGCGGACTCTTGGCACTCATCTACATCTAAAAGACCAATTTGACACATACAGCAGGGCTTTATCGCTGATTAACACTTAAGTGATTGGCAAGAAATGAGATTTTTATTATTGTTGCAGGTGCAAATATAATAAAATATTACACGAACAGGAAAATAATGAGACGTTTATGCCTCCATATGAAATGCTGGACATTTTAACAGTGATTAACAGCTGCTTGCCTTCACAGCTGGTTCCTGTGATGCTGGCCTTAAATCCTGGTCCACACTTGGCCTGGCAGCGATACGTTCCCACTGTGTTGACACACTGCTGGTTGTAGTGGCACATGTGTGAGCCTTGGGAACACTCATCGATATCTGCATGAGGGAAACAGTTAGTGAGATCATTTTAGATTTACTTAAGTAGGACATTATCTCTGTGCACTGTGTATTGTAATATTGGATATTGCAAAAAAATCACCCAGCAGGTTTTCTTTGTCTTACCTTGGCATACATTGGTGTCTGCAGAAATGGTGAAGCCAGACGGACAGGTACAGGAAAAGCCTCCCATAATGTTGTTACATGAATGAGAGCAGGCAGACTGGAGCGCACACTCATCTTCATCTAATAAGAATGCATTTGATGATAATAATAAAATAGAACAGTCACAAATGTTCAAATAAATGGTGTTAAAAATGATTGAGGTATTAAAAAATAAGCACAGCATACCAGCACAGTAGGAGGTGGTGTCAAGAGTGAAACCTTTAGGGCATGCGTCTTCATAACCATCTGCAAACACAGAGTACATGCAATGTTAGGCTTTCCAACAGATCCTGGATTTAATGTAAAATCGAGTTTAAATTGCTGGAATTTTTTAAGATTTTTGCAGACCTGGTACGTGTAGGCTGGCAGTAACATGGAAGTCCAAAGTGAGCGTAAACATGTTGTAGGCACTATTCATCCCAGAAACCTTGAGCAGTTGGAGCACAGGACCCTGGCGCTCTTCCTGGCCCTCGTAAATAATTGTGTGATTACAACGCAGCACCATGGGGCTTCCTCCTCTCTGGTGGGTTTGCGATGACCACGAGTACAGCTGCCCTTGGCCCGTCTGCACATATGACTCATCGAACTCCTACGGGGCAGGAGTGAAATCGGGTCACACAAACTAAAGAGGATCGGAGGTGTGAAACTAAAGTGTCATGTCTTTAAGTCAGGATTTGATCTGAATGATCTTTAAATACACATTGCGATGAAAGCTGTGAACACACCTGAAGGCTCATGTGAGATGATGATAATGAAGGAGGAACAAATCCGTTAATTACTATGTCAATTAGCAAAACACCCTCCGAATCCAGACCTCTGGCAACATGAGTCAAACGTAGGATTTCCCCTGTTAGAAGAGATTAAAAAACCAAAAAACATAACACTGTAAATCCACTTAAAACCACAAGGGAGCGTGCTGTAACTGCTTAGAAGCACAAGCCTCCATGTTCAATGTATGTGACTGCTAGTAAGTGCTGCCATCTACTGACTGTTTTACAAAAGAGCGCATAATGGACATGAAAAACTCAACATTTGTTGTTGTTCCTGTAAAATCACACCACCGTTTAGAAGAAACTAAACAGAAATAAAAAGAGTTGAACAAAACTTATCTTAAGCCGAGTATTTTCATCGATTAAATATGCAGTGCATGACCTTAAATAAATGAATCAAAAGCTTTAAATATTAACTGGCATATGCACGGAAAACAAAGCAAAAATGTGTAGTAGGCAAAGCTCACCAGTCTCGAACTCCAGCTGAGACTCCTGTCTGAACTGGCCCTGAGTGAAAGCGTAGCCATTTCTGGCTGCTCCATTCTGCAGCACGGTGGTCCAGTAGATGGGTGCAAACACAGACACCAGCACCCGCAGCAAGGGACCTACAACAAGACAGCATTAGCTCTGTGCCTCTGCTGCTCTGCTACACATCAACATGTGATTTGAACAAGATTGGGAATGCATCCCCAAGAATTCAACTCTTTCTAGTAAAATTCAGCGTGACCACTGTTTAATGAAGTGGTAACTGTTAGGTATGAGGCTGAGGTCAACAGCAACCAATGGTACACAATGGTACATGCCATCACTCACCCACAGTGGGAGGAATATTGTCAAGGCGTGCCTGCACAGTGCTGCTCCCCTCGTCATCATTGTCTGTAATGTTGGCCTCCAGGTAGGACACACCAAACTCTCTGTCATTGACCATTCCTATCAGGCTGCCTCTAGTCCTGCGTGGAACCTCACCTGGCAGCACCAAAATACGTTTAAATAAGATACATTAACTGAAATTCATTAATATCAGGTTGTCCTAAACGCTCCCTGAAAGTGTTTAAAGTTACTGACATGGACTGGAAAGAAAGAGCATACTTCTGTGTTAGACACCACTCCTCATTTAATTATTACTTATTATTCATCTCTGGCTTTCTTCCATATTGCGTCTCTTGTCCTGTCTTCCTCACTTCACCCCCAACTGGTCACAACAGATGACTGCCCCTCCTTGAGCCTGGTTGTGCTGGAGGTTTCTTCCTGTTAAAAGGGAGTTTTTCCTTCCCACTGTCACCAAGCGCTTGGTTTTCTCTGTATTATTTTTAGTTCTTATGGTACTGAGCTAACTTGAGGGGACTGCTGTTGTGATTTGGCAGTGTATATATAAAATTGAATTGAAGGGTTGAATAATGAAATATTTTGTAGTTATTGGCAACGGCCAAGATTGCAAATACTGAGATAATATATTTTAATTTTCAAATTTCCTCATGCATTACACAGACATATTTTTTTTGGAGGCATCAAAATGAATCGAAATGAATAACAAAGCCACTGGTACCTGGACACAAGCCGACCTGACATTTTCTAGAGTCGATACTGGGGCCGCTGCATGATCGGCCTCCATTAGCTGGTTCTGGGTTGTTGCATAGTCTGATTCGCTCTTGGAAGCCTTGGCCACAGGTGCTACTGCATGGTCCCCACTCCTGCCAGCTAGAGTAGCCTCCATTGACTAAGAGAGGAAGAGAAGAAAAGAATTTTCAACAGTGGGTCCTCAGGAAGTTCATCTGCACAGGTTATGTTGTGCAAACTTGCTGTTGTGCAAAGGAAAGGAGCACTTGCAACACATGAAAGCAACAGACATGAATAAGTGAACACGGGGGGAAACTAACATTTTAAAGTCGTTCTTAAAAGTGGATTGGAGGCAGTTTGGGAAGTACATTATGGTACAAACTTGTTTGAATTTTTTATTTCATAACCCGTTAAATAAATCATATAGACAGAACTCACTCTGAACCTTGAGCGTAATGGTCCTCTCAGCTGTTCCAGCCTCACTTTCAGCCACACACTGATACTCCCCTTCATCTGCAGCCTGTAGATCAACCAGGTAGAGGTTTAGCTGATTATCGAATTATCTAAGGAACAGTTATCCTTTAATAGGACTACAAACCTTCCAGACAAACATATCTCTGAATTGGGTACAGTTTTACAGTTTAGGGAAATTACCATACAAGCAAACAAAATCTGACATTTTCAATGGGGCAGTTGACTTTATTCCATTGAATTGTTTGTCATAATTAATATTACAGGGACAGAGAGAGGAAATTTCATAATAAGAGCACTCTGCTGGAAGGACAGTCATCTGTCTGTGAGAAAGTCTCAGCTGCAGGCTGTGCAATTACAGCAGCAGTTAGAGACCATAATAAGGTTAGAGGCTACGGAAAGAGGGGCAGAGTCTGGGAACATACAGCATTCTGTTTGTTTCTTCCCTCTGAGCCTAATGCTGTTAGCCTCTCCGGCTGAACTCAATCTGATTTAGATGGGAGCAGGACACTACAGGACAGTCACACGCTGTTCCTCTACCCAAGGGTATTGTAGATGAAGCTCAGATGGGATGAATAAAGCGCCGCTGTTCTACTCAGATTGCGTGATGGAGCCTTGTTGCGCAAACTACATCAGAAAATGTTTCATGCCAGAGTGAGCTAGGCTTGACAGAACTTATTTAGAAGCATGCTCAAAAGAACAGAAATAGGAGGAGAAAAGAAAATGTTATATTTACAGTGGTGCTGTAAATGACCAGAGATCCGTTGTGGAGGGTTTGCATTCGGAGGAAGCGAGGTAGCGGTTTTCCATTTCTGAGCCAGCGGAGGACAGGGCTGGGGTCTCCGTGGACGGGACAGTCAAGCACAGCAGAGCCACCCTGAATGACTGTCTGAGACGTGTGGGCTTCACCCTTCAACACCGGAGGCTCTGGAAACACATAGCATGTGTATTTTCAGATAGAATGTGTCATAATGTAAATATCTATAGAAAGTTCAGTGAGCGGGAATCCTCGAGGATAAATCTCACCTCTGATACGGACGAACGAGAGCGCTCTAATGGAACCCACGCTGTTTGCTGCTATGCACACGTAGGTCCCAGCATCACTCCGAGTCACATTCTCAATGATGATGGAGCTTCTGCCTGCCTCATCTACAGTGGCACCTGCAACAGTTTTGCAGTTTTACACCACAGTTTTATTTTAAATTAGGCTTCTTTTTTTTTTAAACTGAATGCATTACACATAATAACAAATACAGTAATCTGTGTAGCAATTATGAGCTGTTTAGCTGAAGAAAAAAAGGAAAACACTACCTGCATAGGGACTGTTGTTGACAGTCCAGGAGATAGTAGGAGAAGGCGTTCCCTGAGCATGGCACGATAAGGCAAGAGTCTGCCCTTTGTTTAGCATTGCATCGCCTGGCAGCTCCTTGAATGCAGGCCTCATATTGATGGTCAGTCGGATGTCTTGCCTCGCAGAGCCTGCTGCATTGGTGGCTACGCATGTAAACACACCAGCGTCTCCTGACTGTTGAAGGAAAGAAGCAGCAGCTGAGTGTTGCACATGGAACTACAGAGAGATGCAGTTCATAATAAAGTGCAGAGAAAGCATGACATAGAGGCTAACCTCAGCCCTCTCTATGATCAGCTCTCCTGACCGTAAGACGGTGAATTTGCCAGGGAGGTTGGGCACCACGCTGCCGTCCTTCTCCCATGACACTTTAGGCTCTGGTGAACCCTGAGCAGCGCAGGGCAGCAGAGCCTGAAATCCTTGGATAACTGACAGTTGCGTCTGTGTAGGAGCAATCACGGGTGGGACTGAAAAGAGACACCACTATTAACACAAACATGTTACGACACAGCGCAGCTTGTAAAGTGCTTCACCCACCTTGAATGAGCAGCCTCATATCATGGCTGGCTCTGCCGGCGGGGTTTTTAGCAGTACACGTATAAAGACCCGCGTCACTGCGCTGGGTAGAAATAATTGCCAGAGTTCCATTGGAGAAGACGCGCACATGAGCGCCATCAAGCACAGGCCTCCTCTCTTTGCGCCAGGTGACTTCAGGCAGAGGCTGCCCATCAGCTATGCACTCCAGGCTGACTGGCTGGCCTAGCACAGCCATGTACTCGACATGAGGCACGCTCAACACTGGTGGAACTGCGGAAACATAAGATGAGCAGATATTTATTTGCAAATTTCCTAAAATGTATGTAATGTTTCATAAGATTATGAAACATTACATAATGTTATTCCCATGGTGAGATAAAAAAATCTGCATTACCTTGAAGGACTAATTTTGTCCGGCCCACAGCTACACCAGCTTCATTCTTTGCCAGGCACTGATAGGTCCCCGCATCACCAAGCGTCACACGGGAAAACTTCAGAGCTCCGTTCGGGAGCACAGCCAGCCTGTGACCTAGACACACAGTCACATGAAAATTACTGGCCCACATGAGACAGGTCAAATTAAAGCCCACAGCATGATGACATTGCTGTCCTATCTGTAAAACGTAAAAACAAAACAAAGAAAAGATTCTTGTTGGAGTATGACTTAGTTGCTGTTAAATGTGTTGGATTCTAATATATGAAAACTGTGCATAATTACAGCAATGTTCATCTGTCTGTCTCTTCATAAATAAGGATTTGGCTCATATTTTTTGTACTGTTACCTGTTGCTATGGGAACTCCCTCTCTTTGCCAGGTGATGGATGGTCTGGGGAAGCCCTGAACCTCACAGGGGAGAACAGTCCCGTGATTCAGCACTACTTGCACCTCTTCTGCCATTGGTCTGATCTCTGGCAGCTCTGTGTGTGGAAGACAGAACACAGTGTCATATGGTTTCATACATTTTAACATAAACATAATAAGATAACATATGTCCTTGGAGGCCTACCATGCACTGAGAGAGAGATGTGTTTGTGAGCCACTCCAGCTGGGTTTCTGGCTGAGCATGTATATTTTCCAGTATGACTGGGCAAAGCAGCAGTTATCTCCAACTCTCCTGCATTAAAGTGAGTACAAAGAACATGTGTTTACAGAGGACCGTGATGTATGAAAATGTAAGGAAACAGCAACTGGTGTGCTGCTTTACCAGTGGGAAGGATGCGGTAGCTTCCTCCTCTGGAGCTCAGTTTGGCTCCACCCTTTGTCCAGGTGACAGTGGGCATTGGGCGTCCTTGTATGTGACAAGGCAACACGACAGGAGACATTTTCACAGCTTTAACTGCCGTAACATCATCTTCAATAGATGGAGGGACTACGGGAGAGAACAGCAAATTTGTGGGCTGAATTATCTGAAACAGCATTCTACAGCCGGCTGATTTTCACAACACTTTAAATCAATACCTTGCAGGATGACCTCGATGACTCTGCGCTCCTCTCCAACATCATTGACTGCAGTGCACTCAAAATAACCTTCATCCTCATTGGCTGGGGACAAAAGAACCAGAGACCCTGAGGACAGTAACCTGAACAGATAAGCAGAACTGCATCAGCTTTGAAGTTTTTATAGCTGTACGAGTTGTACTGCATACCAATTGTGTATTTGAAGCATACAGGCATAGCTTTGTCTATACCTGTATGCACCAGGCTGCTGGCTGATATCCAGGGGAGTGCCATTCCTCTTCCAGGATACTTTAGGAGAAGGTATACCTGCAGCCTCACAGCTAAGCAGGGCTCTGATACCAGTGGTTACTGTCACGTTGAATGGACCCGGACTGATTGAGGGACCCACTAAAAGGACACAGAAGACCTTCAGCTAAGCTGTTATAACAATAAAAAATTGTGCTAAAAACTGAATCTGCTGGCATCCCCAAAATCTTCATAAGCTAAGTACTGCTTATACTGTCTTTACCAAACACACGAAGATCCACTCCTCGGTGATCTGAGCCAGCCTGGTTGGACGCGGTGCAGTAGTAGCGACCAGCGTTATTCAGCTGAGCTGCATGTACGCACAACGAGCCCTCGGATAATATGGTGTATCTGAAATGCACGAAAGATGAATGAGTTGGGGATACACCGCGTCTGTGTTCGACAGATATAGTCGAGTGTGACGTATACAATTACAGACACCTGTGAGAAATCTCAGGACGTACTTATTGTTATCTTGACGCACGGGGAAGCCATCTTTCCTCCACATGACCACAGGTGAGGAGTCGCCTTTGACTTCACAGGGTAAAACTGCATCCTGGCCAATATGTACAGTCACCACTGAGCTGCTCTCCTTTATTACAGGTGGTACTGGAAGTAAAGAGACAGAATCTTGTTGTGTTTAGCATATAAAACTCTTTTTTTTCTCCCCAGACATGAATGTTGAACGACACACCAAACACTTATTTCCCTTAAAACCACCCTAAACGCACAAACAGTGGTTTCCCTTGAAACTTGCTTGAGTAGGTGGCTCTTTTTAAGCTCTCTTCAAATGATGATGTTACATGTTACCACATGTTACTTCTAATTCTTTACTCAGCCTCCTAAATAAACTTCTTGAACTTTGCTCCAGCTACCCACCTACAGTCAACCTTAAAAAAGTGGCAGCATTAAAAGTTGAAATACGACGGGGGAATTTCTCTTTCATCTCTATTAGTCCTCACACATATAAATATTTAGGAATCTGGATCACATGCAAGTACAAAGTTACTTACCACCTTTCTAAATTAATACAACACAGAGATTTGATTGGTTTCTCACAAAGTGATTGCACATGTCGCCCAAACTTTGTGCAAACAGTTGCAGTCTGTTGCAGACAGGTTGCCAACAGTCTGACTGAGTCTTTGTTAATGAGCAAAACTCAAGGGGACTCAACTCAACGGACTGCCAGTTGGTTGTATTTTAGTTTTATTCCTATACAGCAGGAATGCTGCTGAGGTCAAATATGTCATCTTTATCCCAGAGTTATCCCAGTTGATGTATTATCAGCTATAATAGTAAATATAACAGTATAGTAGAATAAAATAGTAGAATAATAGTAGACTAACTCCATCTTATAGAAACATTTATGGCAGGTTTCAGTAGCAGTGTTGGTATATTTGACAACCTCATTATCCAGCAGGAAAAATGACTTGAGATAACTTTATCTTATTGGATAAAAAGTGTAACTTTGATAACATGATTAACAGATGAAAAAGGGGATAAATCACAATATATGTGCAATATTCAGCACATCACACTAGTATTACATTGTGAAGAACTGTGATAATATCATACTGTGGGGTGTCTGATCATTTCCACCTCGAACAATTAATTAGGCTTCTGTTCTATTGTACTGCAGAGCCTCAGCTACAACTAGCTACTCTTTGCATGTATCTATGACCTTCTTATGTAAGTTCAAAATAAGTCACAGCTCTTTTAGCGCTTTTAAACATTTGTTTGTTTTTTCTAACAGACATTTCAGAAACTAGTGGCTCCGTGGTGTAGTGGTTAACACATTTGCCTTACATGTAGGTCCCCCGTTTGACACCAGGAGGCGACAGAAACCCAGCCTCAGGGGCTCACGAGGTATCGTACTTGCATTTGTCTTATTCCAAGACTGGATCAATTAGAGCAGGGGTCCCCAATCCCAGTCCAAGAGGGCCGTTGTCCCTGCAGGTTTTAGATCTCACCCTGGGTCAACACACCTGAATCACATGATTAGTTCAATACCAGGCCTCTGAAGAACTTCAAGACATGTTGAGAAGGTAATGTATCCATTTAAATCAGCTGTGATGGATCAAGGACACATCTAAAACCTGCAGGGACACCAGCCCTCGTGGACTGGGATTGGGGACCCCTGAATTAGAGGGTTACACCACAAAGGTCATCCACTGTTTGGGGTTTTTTTCATCTGTGACAAGTCAAAGCATCCAGATGTATTCACTGTGGCAACCCCTTGATAAATAGCAGCTCAGTGTGCCATTCATTCATAGCTCACTAACACTTTTACTGCAAAACTTTTTTAGAAGCAGCTCCATTGTCTGCAGTGTTTGGTATGATTCCAAAGAATGGAGTATACTTTGGTCTTTCACTCTCTCCTTGATAACTTGGACTGGTTACTAACTGCAGTAACTGGCAACTTGCTGAGTTAAATATTTGGTTGTCATGTGTTTATGTCTACGGTTCAAAAGTTCAACAGTTTAAAAACAAGATATGACAAGTATGCTTACAGAGAATTTCCACAGTGAAGAAGAGACTGCTGCTTCCAGCTATGTTGGTAACCACACAGCTATACTGGCCGCTATCCTCAGACCTGACTTCCTGTATCTCCAGGTACTGACCCCCTGCCAGCTGCTGGATACGACCACCCAGCTGATACAACAGAAGGAAAGGAAAGATAGAATACGCAAGTCAAAGAGGAGATCAATACTTTTAATAGTGGATGACTTATTTGAGCTCACATTCTGCACCTGCAGTTTGGTTTCACCCTTGTACCACTCTATGTGTGGAGGAGGGTCGCTGTCAGCCAGGCACTCCAGAGTGAGGTGACCGTTAACCGGCACTGTCAATGTCCTCACATCACCGGAGCCAAGGAGCGTCGGTGGTACTGCAACACAACCACTGACCATTAAGATTTATGTGATCCACAATAACAGCAACAAAAGGAAAGTAAAAGAAAAAAAAGTGCTGTGAGCCTGAAGTGCTCCTTCAGGAAGAGCTTGGTAAAGTTATGAGGCCGTGTGGAACAGATGAAGTCAGAATGTAGATCGGGGACAGATATAAAAAGCATGTGTTTTCACTTAAAAAAAAGACATTACTAAAAAAAGTGCTATAAAAATGTGTGCCACACAGTTTTGAATCATCTAGAAGAGTCTTAATTATAGGAATGGGGAAAAGAAACACCATGAATTTGGGAAAACACTGATCTAAGCAGTCTGGCAGGTCTTAACTGCATTGTGTATGATTATATTTATAGAAGCATCATTTTACTCAAATATTAACAAGTGGAATAAATGGTGAGTAGTGCACACTCATAAATTAAAGTCAGGCCATCAATAAAAACCCAAGAAAATGCACCCTGCGCTGCATGCATGTCATATTGCGTGCAAAACAGCGAGGCCGATATACAAGCGGCGCAAGTCTGTTTTTCACTTGTGTAAAAATCCAGACTTTTATTCCTGATCGCACACAGAGCTTTATTCATGCATTACCAGGTGCAAAGAGAGGAGGAAGTTAAGGGAAAAGGGGGGCATGACATATTTCTTCCATGCTGAATAATATCCAAGAACAGCTTGTGTCACCTTGGACCCGGACCCAGTGGTTTTTTCCATCCTCTCCGGCTAGGCTGCTGGCCAAGCACGTGTACAGACCTGCATCCTCGACCTTTAAAGAGACAATATCAATCAGCTTGATTGGTTCTTGCATGACAATGCTTTATTTAAAAATTTACACTCAACTAAAGTGACGACTAAGGTTTAAAAAGAGTGGGTATGTTTTTCTGTTTGTTTTTTAACAGGAGTGATTGCTTAGAAAAAATCTTAGCGACATACATTGTCTTAAATAAAGTTTTACACCTTAAATTGCCAATCTCAGGAGAACATGTGCTCGCACAGTCAGTAATTAATACCTGAACTTTGCTAATCCTGATAAAGTTTCCGTCCTGCTGAACGATATCAGATCTCTCCATGGGCCGACCATCCTTGAGCCAGCTGAGGGTAGGAGGTGGGACTCCCACAGCAGAGCACTCCAGCTCAAGTGGACTGTTAACTGCTATGGTCAGCTCTTCTGGTGAGTCGGAGCTGACTATCTTTGGAGGCTCTGCATTAGAAAGCAAAATGTGTTAGCTTATTTTCTTTTTCTTTATTGCAGACATAAATAAATAAAAAGAGGGTGATCGTACCAAGCACGGTGAGGTTGAAGCTCTTGGTACTGCTTCCAGCCTGGTTACTAGCCACGCAGCTGTAAAAGCCCGCATCTGAGGGGGCCACATCAGGAAGCTGCAGTCTTGTCTCCTGTCCATCCAGCAGCAGGTTGCGGTGAAGGGACAGCGGCTGTCCATCTTTCATCCACGTTAGCGTCGGAGGGGGGACGCCACGTGCTTCACAGGATAAAGTCACCAAGGATCCCTGGATTACTGAAACTGGCTCCACCGGTTCGACGTGATTCACACCGGGGGGCACTGCAGACCATAAACACAGAGTGTGAAACCCCACCGACCCAGCATGTTCTGTTTTCATGTTATCTACTGTTGGGATTGTACCTTGGACTTGGACATCATAGCTGAGCTCTGCAAGACCAGCTTGACTGCGTGCCACACACGTGTAAACTCCAGAATCAGACAGCTGCACAGGAGAAATCCTTTTTTTTTTAATGAAGAAAGAGAACATTTAGAATGACCTCATCCACCAACCTGTAATCTTTTTACAACACAGTCTGTAATCATCTTAACTGACCTCAGCAAAGAGTCACCGGAGAGGAGGCGGGCGCGGGGACTGAGGAGCAGCGGATGCCCATTCTTCAGCCAGCTGATCTGAGGTGGTGGGTTTCCTGCTGCCTGACACTCCAGCGTCACGGCGCTGTCCTGCGTGACCTGCACCTCTTTGGGGATGGTGGTCTCACCAGAAATAGATGGCGGTACTGCCACAGATGAAATAGACTGTGAAGAAATCGCTCAGAAACTTAACGCAGATAAACAAAGCTAAGGGGTGAAAAACCAACCTAGAGTAAAGACGGTGTAGATTTTACTCTCCTGGCCGGCCGAATTCACAGCCAGGCAGGTGTACGTCCCAGAATCCTCAGGACTCAGGCGCAGCAAAGTCAGTGTGCTGCCATCAGATGTCACGCTGCCAGAGAACAAGCACGCTTTGTTTTCACATCCATTTTTCTCTATTATTTGTCCACATCTGAACCTCGGTGTAATTCTTTCATTATCACCCACATCCCACAGTTTTCTCACAGTCGCATGCAGATACATAAACACAGTCGCTTACTGTCTGATGACCACATAAGCTGGCGAACAGCTGTGAAGCAGCTGCTTTTACAGTTTTTCATGATCTAACTGGGCAAGACACTATAAACCATTTGTTCGTCGTGCACATCATTCTCTGTGTTTCTGATTAACGGTGACACTTTCCCAAACCCTTAATGAAGGCTGCTCATCGATTCAAATATTTACCATTGTTATGATTACTTCACACTTGACAGAGCGGGGCCTGAGAATGACTTACGCAATGTGACGGGCATCCGATCCCTCCAGAGTCACTCCATCTTTCAGCCAGCTGAGGCGAGGTGTGGGGATTCCATTTGCTCTGCACTCCAGGGTCAGCTCCTCTCCTCTGGGTGCACTCACTTCAGATGGGAGGTCAGAGTCCAGGATGGTTGGGGAGACTGAGCAGGGCAGAGATTACTGTTAAACACCTTTTGAAATCATTTCTCTCATAACACATGCTTTAAGAAACCTCGTTACCCTGCACGGTGACTGTGTACTCTTTTCGTGTTTCTCCCTCGCTGTTCTTGGCCACACACGTGTATGTTCCGGCGTGAGACAGGCTGAGAGGCCCCAGCTCCAGCCTGGTGCCTCGAACAGACCACTGCCACTGCAGGCTGCTTTCTGGAAACCACACAGATCCACTTAATCTAGCTGTGACAACCTTTGGCACGTCTGCATTTCTCCACATTTCCATGTCACTCCCTCCCACTTACCAATAGGAGTTCCATCTTTAAGCCAAGAGATGCTGGGAACGGGTACGCCTGTGGCCTCACACAGCAGAGCCACGTGGGAGCCCAGGCTATAATTTAGAGACTCTCGAAGAGGTCCATCCAGGACAGGTGGAACTGTCAATATATATTTATGAGAATTTAGTCCATTAAAGACATTTGTCTATAGCGATTTTGTTCCAAAATACTACAGAGTGATTTTTACCATGAACCGTCAGCCTAAAGGTCCTGTCCGCCTGTCCAGCCACATTGGACACTTTGCAAGTGTACGTGCCACTATCTCCCATCTAGTAACCACAAAGGAAAAAATTGTGAGTTGTGTTTTCTTTACAAGTTATAATCCAAAGGGATTCATGATTTTTTTTTTTTTTTTTTTTGGAACACCGGCTTCAAATGCATTCAGATGGGTGATCTCAGCTCCAGCCTGTTAGAATTAGTCAGAATTATCTCAGGGGTTTTAAATGCACCAGATAAAGGAACAGTGAGTGCAGTGAAAATAAGTATACATTACACATCAGCACGCTGTTGAAAACCCCTTAAAATCCTTTTTTATGTTTTGTTTGCAGTCATAAAAAATGTCTGATGAGTCTGACCTGGACTCCTATTATCTCCAGCTGGTACTGATCCATCTTTAGTCCGTTCCCTGCAGCCAACTGGAGCCCATTCTTGTACCACGTGACTTCAGGCTCGGGGAAGCCGTGGGCTTCGCATCGCAAGGTGACTGAGGAGCCAACCTGAGGGGTCACCGAGTCTGACTCAGCATCGTGCCGGGGCTTCAGGGTGGGCACGACTGTTGGTTTGCACATTTAGAGAGGACATGATCTCAGTTTGATTCATTCAGAATTCGAATGAGTCACTCCTGAACTCTTCTCAGTCACAGCTGGCTTGAGATAAACAGATATTTTTTGCCAGGCAGTGTTTTGGGATTTGATCATCTGTATATGTGGCTGAATTGTGCAGATGGGTCACAGTGTGTTTGCTCACCATAAACACTGAGGAGAATACTCTTCTGGTCCTGCCCTGCTGAGTTGGTGGCTGTGCAAACATATTGCCCTGCATCTTCTAGTGTGGCCCGGGGCAACTGTAGCATCTGGCCACCTATTACATATATATAGGCAATATATCAAATAATGATATGAAATATCAGTGCAAGAATTAGATTCTACTCAATATGATGCTTCTGATTGAAGGATTTGGGTATTGAAGATGGCCCAGAGGCTAACCTGGCAGAATGTGAATGCTGGTGCTGAAATGGAGGACTTGCCCATCTTTGGTCCAGGTAATCTCTGGAGGAGGGTATGCTTGGACGTCACACAGCAAAGACACCATGTGGCCCTCAGTCACACTAACCTCCTCCTCTTTAGGGCCCGTTATTCTAGGAGGGACTGCAAGAAGAGAAGAGAGTTGCATATCACAGTATCACAGTAAAGACTTTTTTGGGGGTTTTTTGGGGGGGCTTTACCTTGCACTGTCAGACTGAAGAGCTTCTCAATTGTTCCGACCTTGTTCTCCGCTACACACGAATACCCAGCCATGTCTGAAACCTGGACACTGAGAAGCTGTAAGTTACAACACAAGCGTTATTCTTCACTACAGAACGTTACGGTTGGATCTGTCTATTTGCTGGCAACGGTGCACAAAGGTCAGCGATAACTAACTTGAAGCTGAGTCCCATCCTCACTGATGTGGTGCTGTGAGTCCATGTGCACCGGCTGCCCTTCTCTCAGCCAGGAGACGACTGGAGCTGGATGTCCAATCACGTCACAGTGTAGAACCACGGTGCTGTTAACCACTGCTCCGATCTCCTCCATAAACTCCTTTGATGCTCCAGTAATAACAGGAGGGACTATGGAAGTTAAACACAACTGAAATTATTAAGTTACATCTCTATAATCACAGATTTTATTATACAAACATTTTAATTACATCTAACTTAGGTATATGTACTCACTTACCTAGAATCTCCAGATCAAAGTGCATGCGATCCTCCCCTGCCTCATTAACAGCCTGACACGTATACCTTCCAGCATCCTCCTTCTGCACTCGGGCAATTTGTAGCACTTGTCCCCCTGTCATACATTAAAAATGACTCCTCAGTTACATATAACAACTGCACTAGTGGTTTTACATGAGGTTTTACAGAGTTTTCCCTGACCTGGAAGAAGCACCACTCCATCTGCAGAGGTTAACTTTTTGCCGTCTTTATACCAGCTGAGCTTGGGAGGGGGAATGGCATTGCTCTCACAGGACAGGCTGATTTGATGGCCTAGCACAACTTCCCGCTTCTCCACCACGTTCTCATCATTAAGGTCGTCTTCATGTCCCAAACCCCAGGATGCTTCCCTGTTATTCACCCGGTGGAAAATCGGAGGGACTAAAGAGACAGCGGCACATTAGAGCCAGATTGCTTTCTATACAAAGGTTTAAAATGAAGTGTTTTTCTAGCTGCTATACACTGAATTAACCGAACACACCTTGAATAGTTACACGAAAGTGTCTCTTGTCCTCTCCTGCAGAGTTGGTGACCACACAGGTGTACTGACCCTCATGGGACAGCATGGCATTCTCTATGTGAAGGAAGTGGCCGCTCTCTTTAATGCCAGCATGGATGTTTCCAGTCAGCAGCTAAAACACAAAGAAAATACACAGTTAATGTGAAGTATTGCTCGCAGGAATCTGTGGGTTGATGAATAAATAAAACAGACTGTCTCTGATACTTTGTTCAAAAGTGCTCTTTAAGCTCGATGGAGCCTCCTTAAGATTTGTTGCCTCTTTGAACTACTGTGTCAAGAAAATATTTAGCAGATCTTTAAATGTGGCTTTAAAACACCCAAGACATACAGAGCTTCCACCCACACTCAGAAAGAAAATCATATTTTACATCATCTTTAATCCAATTCCTGCTTCTCATATTGTAGGCCCTGCAGAATATTCATACACGTGCACTTGCATTCTGAACAGAATAAAGGACACAGTACATCAAAACACAGTAGGTCACGAAAAAAACAAAAAAAGAAATCGCACAGTGTTTTATGTCTTGAGGTTTAATCACTGGATTCTTCCTCTATGTCTATAATTAACTGGCTTACTCATCACACTAAATAAGGCGAGTGGAGGTGGGTTGTGCAAGAGGGTTGCTGTAATTCATACCAGTTGCCAATAGAGGCTGGCAGAGGTTAGAACTTGTTCCATTGAAAACACATTTTGATTTTAGGAAGCACAGCTTTTAACGGTGACACACACGGACCTGTCCGTCTTTGAACCACTGGACTTTGGGCTCGGGGAAACCTTTGGCGAGGCAGGACAGAGTTAAGCTCCCGTTGATCCGCACTTTCTGTTCCTGACCACCAAACGTTAGGGAGGTAGAGTCTCCTTCTATCTGCGGTGGGACTAAAGAGATGAAAACATTAAAAATCAAATCCCTCTTTTATTTTTCACCTTGTTAGAGATGCACATGTCTCTTACCCAGAACACTGAGTGAATAGTGCTTGATGGCAGTGCCAGCTGGATTTGTAGCCCTGCAAGTGTAGAGGCCGCTGCTGTCTCCCTGTGCCGAACCCAGCCGCAGGGCCAGCCCACCGCGGGTGTATGTCAGCTGGGGAGTGGATACGATGGGGTGATTGTCCTTGAGCCAGGTGATGCTGGGTGTGGGGAAGCCCTCGACGTTGCAGGGGAGGATTGCAGAGAAACCCAGCACCACTGACACCTCTGATGTCTCAGTAGTCCCCTTAATAGTGGGAGGGGCTGGAGTAAAAAACAGAGAACACGTTTATGTTTAACAGCCAAATCATTTTTTACTGGCACACAGTACAGAATAACCAGAGCAACAGGCGAATGCTTTGCTTTTGTGTAGGAAACCTTCTAAAAGAGAAATGCAGCGTGTGGTACTCTATTACTGCACCTGACAGAGAAATGTCCCCTTAAAGAGAATTCAATATGTGCACATCGACCACATGGCTAAATACAATGTTAACTTATGTTACTATAGAGGCTGGGCATTCACATGAATTATATATGATGCCTCGCAATTCTCTTTCTCAGAGTGTTGCCATAACAGCAGCAATTTAGGGAAAAATATCAGAGTAATATCCTGAATCTATACAACTGTTTTGTTTTTTGTTTTGTTTTTTCATAGGTGTTAAATCAATAACTGCTGTTAAATTCAGGTGAGTGTAGTTGGAGGTTTACATTTTGTTAAAAAAAATGTTCAAAACAACCTTGGACGTTGAGTCTAAATTGGCGCATCTGAGTTCCTGCGTCGTTACTGGCCAGACACCGGTAAAGACCCTGGTCTCTCGGCCTTACTGACTTCACCTTCAGCACCTGGCCATCTTCCAGAAACTCCACATGAGGGTCTCCATCGCGGGACAGAACCCTGGAGAAAGAACGGAAAGGATGATCGAATCAATTCAGTGAATCCTGCATCCTGTGTACGCTGCTGAATGTCACGTCGATAAAAGAGATTCTTACTCTCCGTCGCGGCTCCATTCCACTCTTGGCGCTGGTTTTCCACTCACCCGACACTGAAACTCCACCTCCTGGCCCAGTACCACAGTTAACTCCTGCATTCGAGACGTTCCTGAGATCACAGGTGGAGCTGGCGAAAAACACCACATACTCAATGACTAGTTTGCATTAAGAATGAATGCTGAATGTGTATCTTATCACAGATCCCCAAACTGGTCTTTCTTGCTGCCTTATACCTTCCTCTTAAATATCCATGTGAAAGCAGGTTTATAATGAGCTCACCTTGCACCACTATGTTATATTGTCTTTGGGTCTCTCCAGCTGAGTTTTGAGCTGTGCAGACAAACTGTCCTGCATGTTCAGGCTGAACTCTGTAGATTCTGAGCAGCCTATTTCCATTCTCAAGATACACCCCAGGGTTGTCCACCTGCACACACAGAAATCAGCTTGAGTGCATCCACACTGTTTAAATGTTATTGAAATAATTGCCACTTGGTGGCATTGTACCGCTAGAGATCGACAAGATAGCATTTACAGTAAAAACATGTAACCTGGCTTTTAGATTTTTCTGTAAATGGGAATCCAGGATGACACACTCACAGCTTTGCCATCTTTAGTCCAGGTGATTGTTGGAGAGGGGATCCCAAAGGCGTCACATCCCAGCGTGAGAGGCTGCTTCAAGGTGACAGTGAGGTTCAGCGGCTGGCCATTATCTTGAATTTCAGGGGGAACTAAGACAGCACAGAAAGAAAGGTTTAAGGACCATCGTTATGTGTAAAATATACTTTTAACAGCAGGAAAACAGCCATGAGATAAGTTCTCACCATTCACTTTTAGCCTGGTCTTTCTCTCCACAGAGCCTGCCTCATTAACTGCCACACACTTGAAGTCCCCACTGTGGCTGGCAGACGCTGCGCTAATTACAAGAGCTCCATCCCTCGCCACGGAAAAGTCGGGTTGTTCGGGGTGTATCTCCAGGCCATTCTTGAACCAGCGTACTTTGGGATTAGGCGAACCTGCAGGTGCAGCGACAAGAAAAGCGAGTGAGGATAAAATGAGCTTTATTGATCATATCGGACAGAAAGAAGAGTTACTTCCATCTCTCTTCTTCTGTGCAGGATAACTTAACGGGCAAGCAGCCCAGACTACAAAAAAGCCAGCTCTCTACATTTATCAGACAGCAGGACAGCAGGGAGTGGATGCCAAAATGGTTAGAGTCCTTGTCGCCTGCAGGCTTAAGATTTCAAGGTCAAAGTCACATTAAAAAAAGTAAAACACTGCATAGAGGAGTGACGGAGGATGTAATACTTAAAATGCAGACATAAAGATTTATTGCTAAATACTGGGATGAGAGTGAGTAGAGAGAGTAAGAGCTGTAAGAAAGATAGTGGTTGAACAAGTGGTTCAAAGGCACTGGCGTGTTTCGTGGATTATTGGGTGGAAATAGAGCTAGAAATGCCCGACAGAAGAAAACTGGATCAGGGACAAGGTGGAGAATTTAAAAAGCTTTGTAACCCTCCAAAAATCTCCACAACAGATTCCCTAACAGACTAACAGAGCAGCACAGAGCCACACTCCCTCGATTTACAGAGGTGTCACATATACAAACACCACTTGAAAAATCAACCGCAGCACCCTTCCTTCTCCATCCCCCAAAAAGCAGGAGAAGACGCAGCACAACCAAAGGTGACGTTACTGTCTGTTTCCTCTCAGAACACGTGTTTACAGTTAAGGAGCTCTGAAGCAAATTCATTATCTCATTGCTGCGGGAAATGCATACAGATGTTGTGTTTTAGATGTTAACAGATCTCATTAGCAGGCTCTGAATTTATTTACCGGGGCTGACGAAGTCTGAGATTATCTCTTCCATGTGTTTCTCCAATAATTACCTCTATCAAATGCAATGTGCTTGTTGGTGAATTAATAATTTCCTTCTGGCAGAGACTGTGCTTGTTTCCCCTCGTGCAGATAGATCTCAAAGAAAACAAAAAGGACCAAAGAAAGTGGGGATCCTCGTTTGGTGCTGCAGGCTGACTGCCTCTCCGGCCCGTCAAGAGCATCAAGCATTTCTGTATTTCTGTGCTTGGTACTGTCAACCCGTCCGTATGACTCAGAAGAAAGGTGAGGCCAGCGAGGCTTCGTCTTTCTCTTCCTGTGCTTCACGGCGCACCTCAGACATCTCTGTCCTTTATCTGCCAGAAGCAGCCTGTAATTAGGATTCCGCTCCCAGCAGGCCCGACACACAGGAAAGCAGATGTGGCTCACAGAGGCAGGAGGCAGACTGATGTTCCAGCTGTTGCTCCACATTACACGCAGTGCTCACCTCCTCTCATTGAGCTGGTTACCATGACACAGCTCCACACAAACAATACCTGTTTGTGCGGGCTGCCACTGAGTAGCCGTCAGTCCAGACAGAGACGCGACAACGACGCTTGCCGCGTTTTGATAAAACAGCAGGTCCTCCACATCCCTACAGAATGTCTCTCGTTCGCAAATGGATGTTGGGAAATAGAGACAATGGCATGCCTCCGGGTGCTGCAGTGAAAAGAAGCTTCTCCTTTTAAGATGGCAACTAGGAGTCTGTGGTGACAGTGAAACATTCTTTTGATTGCGCACAAAAACACATCACTGTCCTACATATAACATTGATTTCTCTCTTTTTTTTTCTCCTTTCTGTGTTGCAGAAACAAACCTGAAAGATGACAGAGTTCAGTTTTAGGCTCCCTAAAACTTGAATTACACCTTTTCAGTGTGTCCACGCTGACTCATCTGTGAATCATTCCATACCTTTAGCGGGGCAAGGGATGATGACCTTGCTGTTTGCCACTTTCTCCATGATAACATCTCCAGGTTCGGCAAAGGTTGGGGCCTCTGTGAGTACAGAAAAATATGTTACATGCTAGTTCAAAGTGCAAGGGCAGCTAATAAATAAGAGGTGCAATGACAATTAGTTTTAGGTTTCGGAGTAAGAAGAAGCCTCAATAGGATCTAAACATGATTTGAAAAACCGAACAGATTCTCCCCAATGACCAGAGCGTGCATCATGCTTTGACAGCCTGAGCCAGGCTGACCTCTTTTTCTTATCTCTTAAATCAGACAGTCATATTGAGATCGAGATCATTTTTTTAAGAGAGAGACCCCAAAAAAATGCCACACAAAGTGACAGGACCACACAAACGGCACATGTAAGTCAAACTGAAACCAACAAGTCAAGCGTGAAATAGAGAGAATCAAAGCAATTACAGGGGTTGCTGCAAAAAGAAACAACAGCTGTTAAAGCCTGAACATCTGTAAGAAGAATGGGAAAATCCAGTTTTTTGCTTTTAAAAGATGAGTTTTGGTTTAGGAGAGGTTAGAATGTCCCTGTGCGCTTGATCCCCTTGATGTTGAAAATGAGTAAATGATTAAGTAGGGAAGCTGGGAAAGCATCAAAGGCAGACTGCAGATGAGTAAGAGCATGTGTCAGAGAAGGAACAAGGGCATGGAAATATAAAAGGGGACTGATCGGGAAGAATAATATTATTTATATATCACGTAAATAACAACAAGAAAGCTTGATTCAGTACAAATGGACACGACTCTGAGTTCTTAACCCGAAGTCATCTCCCTTTGTGAATGTTTGTCAGAAGGTCAAATAGCTCACTGTTTGGCAGTTTGTACGGTCAATGTGCGCCTAAAGTGAATGTGCCTCTAAACGCTGAGAGGGCCGAAAACAGATGCATCATTAGTGAACCTTCATATGACCAGTGATAGTGAATAGTTATTCAGATATATCATAGAAAACAACCATGAGTCACAATTTAATAGTTCTGCAAGTGAACAAGCAGGTCTGAGGAATTGAACTCGTGACATTCACCAAGAATTTCCAGCTTGATCTCCAAGGTCTCCTGTCCTGCACTGTTCGAGGCCACACACCGGTAGGCGGCCTGGTCGGCGTGGCTGACCTGCTGGATCCTCAGGGGTGTAACATTCTTGTCCCCAACAGGTGATCCATTGCGAAACCAGCTGATCTCAGGGCTCGGCTCTCCCTGCGCTATACATGGTAGAGTCACTGTTTGGCCGAGCAGGGCTTTCAGGAGGGAGGGTGCTGGCAGAATCCTGGGTTTAGCTGAGGACAAAACAAATATCCTAAATATTAGATGCACATAGTTTTGAACATTGACACAAACTTTATCACATTCAAGTTACAGGCTGTCCATGCTGTAGCTTTGAATAATCTCCAGTTCCCTTTTCCTGCTAAATTTATGAAGAAATAACAAAGGGATGGCCCACAACTACCGATAACCAACTGATTTCGCATCAACTGTCAAACCTGAAATGAAAAAAAACAGAGAACTGTGCATAAAAATGAATGAAATTCCCCAGCTGTTAATGCAATATTGAAGCTCGACAGCAGCTTTCAGCCCATCATAAAACTGTAACTTGAGTATGTCATGGTAAATGGCTTTAAAGTAGCAAAAATCTATGTGCAAAAATATTTGGAACTGTATTCATACACACGTCTCACATATAAGTGATATATTCAAACAGACACTTAAAGATATTGGCTGAACAAACAAGTTTCCATAAACTTCAACTTTTACTGAAACCCTGTGGAGTTACCTTGAATGTGTAAATTGTAGCTTAGGGACGCGTTGCCTGCTGGGTTTTCTGCAGTGCAGGTGTACAGTTTACTATCAATCAGGCGCACATCAGTGATCTTCAGAGAGCCTGAAGGCAAAACAGTGAACCTGGGGAGTGGTTAGGGGTCAAGGGCAAAGACATGGAGAAAACACAGAACTTTATGAGTCACTGAAGATCTACAGCTACTGTGTTCTGATAAAATAGGTGTGTCTGTTTTCTTTTTCTCTCCTATATCTCCTATATTTTGAAGCATGCATATAAACCACCTCCTGCAGGCCAGAACTCCTTTAAAGCTGACTGAGGAAAAGTGGAAAACTGTTCAGTGTTCAGATGAATCAAGACTTTAACTTCTTTTTTGGAGAAAATGGACACAAAAATCTCTGCAGCAAAGAAGAGAGGGAGCGTCTGTCTTGTTATCAGCACTCATTTCAAAATCCTGCAGGGGGTGCAATAGCAAAAGTGGCAGCTTGCACATCTGCAAAGCTAGAAAGATTCCAGAGAAACTTTGTACCAGATGATGTCTTTTTCAGGGATGGTCTTGCACATTTCAGCAAAACAATGCTAAACTGCACACTGCATCTATTACAATGACTTCATAGCAGAAGAGTCTGGGTGTTGAACTGCAGTTCAAAACATTTACCAACTGGAAACATCTGGCATCATGAAGTGAAAAACATGACAAAGAAGATCTAGGACTGCTGAGCAGCTAGAATCCTATATCACATAAGAACGGGACAACATTCCAAGAAGTCCCACAGCTGGTCTCTTCAGCTCCCAGATGTTTATGGACTGCTGTTAAAAGAAGAGGGAATGCTACACAGTAGTAAACATGGCCCTGCCCCAATTTTTCTAGATTTGTTGCTGCCATCAAATTCAGAATTAGCTCATATTTTTTCAGAGTTTAAACATTTAATATCTTTTCTGTGCTGTATTGTAAATAAAATGTGGGCTTATGAGAGATGCAAATCACAACGTTCTGTTTGACATTTTATACAGCGTCCAAACTTTTTTTTTTTTTTGGTATTTGGGTTGTACAACAAGTATCAGAGCATTTGACAGATATACATAAATTGAATTATGCTGTCAAACACTTAGTGATCCTTATTCAATTATGTTGTTTTGTTGAAATGGAAAAAGAAAATGTGTGAGGGTTAGAGTTCATAAAGAGCAAGCAATAGCCGAGGTCTGGACCTCATCCAGAGCTAAGTACTCCCGCAATGAGTTGCTGTTTTCACATTTACGATTGTCTGGGATAATTACAATGTGAAAGGGTCAGCAGTGTTTGACCTGATAATATCACCATGGGAAAGGTTGTAGGTTCAAAAAGATCAATGTGGATTTTTCTGTTTGCGTGTGCAGCTATTGTGCGTTTACGACCGCAGGGTCAGGAAATAAAGATAAAGTGAAAATCAAAAGGCTGACTTAATGGTGGAGCTCGAATGAAAGGTCGCACAGGTCTCCAAAGTCAAAGCGTCATCCTTCCTGGGACCAACTAAGTTCAAAGCAACGTTTTGGCCCAACTTGCCATTTGTTTTTTTGATGTTTGTCAAAGTCAAACAAGTGGACAGATGGTGGTCATCACATACACTCCAGTACACAACCTCAGCTCCAAAGTCAGGCCTTGCTTGCTGTGGGTCAGCAACTTTAAAGGAGGGTGTGGTAACCTGAAATGCTACAGAAGCTATCCAGCTGTACAAATGTATAATATACAGCAATGTAAACACACCTCTGCGATTTATCTTTGATAAGTGTGTCTGCTAAGCAACCAAATTCTAACAATAACACGCCTGTCTAAGTGGAAACGGGCTAGAAGCACAAAGAGCTCTGTATTTTAGACGCACATATGGTGTAATGTCTTTCACCCACCCCCCACCTCCCCAAACAGCCGTAGGAGAGACGACAGCATCCAGCTCGAAAACTGAAAGGCGGCCTCTGCAGTGGTTAATGTGAGCTCAGGCTACAGCGGTGCTGCTCCGCGTGACATGAACAGCCCCTCTCGCTCATCCATCACTCCCCACATTGGTGTCATCTGTACACAGTGCGACTGGCCAAAGACTAACTGGGACAAATTGGCCTCATCAGGATCAGGTCTCCTGTGACCAAATCTTCTGACTAAGTATTGAAAAAAGAAAGAGAAAAACAAAAAACTCCCTGCCTGGTACTAGTCTAAATACATGGATATGAGATAAATATCATCTCCCACTGTTTAAGTTATTTTAAAAATCAGCACCCCTCAGTTATTTCCTCCGAACCTCAGAGTGTAGCTTAAAGGAGTTAATGTTCCTTTACAGAGCCCGCTCCTTCCATAGGTCCCTGCGTATGCAAAGCATGACGCTGGGTTTGTTCACAGGGATGTGTTATTCTCATCAGACAGGACTAGTAAAGAGTCAGCATGTTGTTTTACTGCCGAAACACCGCGGGGAATCTGAACATCAGACAGACACAACTTGTATCTCTTCCACTGTCAGTTCACTTTCCGCCCCTCTTCCTGGCACCCCCTCCCTCCAACGCCACCCCCCACCATTTCCTTCTTCCTGACCCCACACAAGTCATACTGTATCTGAGTCACAACGGCTTTCAACTCCCTCTGTCATTCTTCTATCTGCACTAAATGATTCGGCCTGGTGTCTGGCCCAAAGAGTCTGCCTGTCATCCATCCAGCTCGTGTCTCGGGGCAGCCTGCCTGCCTGTCTGCGCTCAGAGTGACCACACATGAAAGCCAGGAATCAGGCAACCACGTGGGACCAGATGTTTTACCTCGGTTTAGCCAACTGGTGATGCCCACACACAGCTCTCTAGTCTCTGCTGCCTCTGCCTGGCCGCTCTTCCAGAGGCATTACGACATGTTAGCAGAAGCTTTGAACAACAGCCAGAGCTCTTTGTAAAAGCTGACTCAGGTGTTAGTTAAGTCAGAGGTAAAGTATGGTTAGTGCTTTTGGATTATGTCAGCTTATATTTGAGACATTTAACTGCATGATTGTCGGGGTGAGGTAAGGCTTCCTCTTACCCAGCTGTGACGGGGGGGATGGGATGCCCGTTTCGGCTCCACGTGACTAACGGGGAAGGACTCCCTTCAGCCTCACACGGGAGAACAACCTCTGCCCCCACCTCTGCAGCCATGTTTACTGTGTTGTCGTGACCAGTCACGCCCATTATCTTTGGCACAGCTTGAACACAACAAAAGAACTTGTTAGACGACCACATAGGCACTTCCTTTACAATTCCAAACGCAAACTGTTTGCCTCCGTTCGCCTTACTATTGACACTCAGCTGGATCTCGCGACTAGCATAGCCCACAGGACTGGTGGCAGTGCAGATGTAGATGCCTGCATCTTCGGCGGAGGGGTTGGGGATGTGGAGGTGTCCCTCAGAGTCAGACTGAAGAGCGGCGCTGTCCCTGGGCAGGGGCTGCCTCCCCTGGCAGAATAAGATCAGACAGAACATATTATATTAGAAAAGTCCTCCACACAAGCGTGCGCATGGATGCTAAGATTAGTTCAAGGTTTACAACCCAACCTTTGATGTCTAATGGAATTACTGGCCACCCCTTTGGATTGCTCTCTATCTGCAGCGTGCACACACAAGAACCGAGGCAGCTGCGCATCCACTCGCTCTGAACATTAAAGCGCTTTAACAGATACACTTTTATCTGACAAGAAGGTAAATTTACTTGACTCTAGAGTAACATTTTGAAAATGTTAGGGGAAAGGCCGGGTGGAATATAAATCCGGCTCAGTTCAGCAACATGTAGACAACAACAGCATGCTGACCTCGTGCAGGGTAGTATTAGTACAAGGTATGTAATAGTGGCAGAGTATTTCATCGGCCATGTTTTTCTTGCCTTTAAAGAAAAGATGATATCACTGCAGTTCCTAATTTCAGTGGTGGAAGAGAAACAGATGCATTAACAGTATACAAACTGCCGCTTCTGCTTCACTACACGTCAAAGATAAATGTACACTTTTTACCAGGCAATATTTATCTCACAGCTTTAGCAACATTACAAATTATTAATCTGTTATATTGCAGCGGCTGTCAAAGGCAACGCTGCAGTACCACACAAGCTGTAATAAGATCTGTTTTTGCATCCTGGATGGATCGAGAGCATCGGCTTAGCACCGCCTGGTTGCACATAAACTTTTGTGTTTTCCTCTCGTGATATGATGAAGTGTTGTACTAGGAGGGGATGCGGGAAAGTCTTGAAATAGACTCCTAAGGTACAATAAAAACAGGGTGATTTGCACCAGTCAAGCAGCAATATAGTAAAGTTGCCATGGTTACTTCCCTCCCTGGCCAGGTTAATCAAGTCTTGATTGCAGTGGAAACTGTTTTTGTTTTGTTCTGTTTTTTTGTGTTCTGACAAATCAAAGAAAAGGCCAGAGGGGAAAAAAGAAAACTGTTTGAATAAGACAAAAGAAATGTAATTGTATTTATGTAAATGTAATCACAGTAAGTGAAGGCGATTTGAAGTGCTACAGATGTTTGTGTAAAATAAAAAAAAATATCCAGAGTAACTCAGTGTGCCTCAAAATGAATTCAGAATTAAAAACCTTTTTCATTATCAGTCATTTCACACTGATTTGATTCTGGTTTTATTAATATCGTTATGCTTGTATTGACTGGCACGGTCCAAGATTGCACTCTTAAGGATAATCTAGATCCCATCACCGCTGAGTATTGATTTTTGCTGTTGCCTGATTGTGATAATTATTTCCAAAGTGCTAATAATGACTCATTGTAAGCTGAACTGATACAAAGGGCTGACCTTGGACTAGACGGTGCTGTGGAAGTCACGCTTGATTTACTGAGCTGAAGCTGAAGGTTGCAAGTGTTACCTTGGACCAGACAACATCTGGTTTGGGGACGCCGGTGGTTTCGCATGATAGCCTGATGGCTACACCCTCGTTGGCTATGTAGTGGTACGGACCAGCGCTGATCTCTGGGGGCACTGTGGAAGAATAAGGTCATAAAACACAGCTGTCTGACTGAGCGTGAAGAAGCGATCTGCTGCTGCATTACCACCGGCCTCAGCTGACCAGCAACATCGGCGTTTGAGGCATTTCTTCATTACAAACTGATGATGAACCGTGATCCTGGCTGTCTGTCATTACATGCTCATGACTCCATTTATCAAAGCATGCAATAAAGCAGGCCCTCTCTCTGTGATGACAACAGGTGGTCGATTCATTCAAAAATTGTTTTCCATGCTGAGTTGGCACATTTTTGGCTTAATTGTCCAATTATATAGCCTGTGGTTGCAAACTTTGCACTGAGAAAGTGCATTCAGTGAGTGAAAGGGTCTGCTTTTAGATTAGGCTCATATATTTTCTTGCTGATATTTTATTAGTGCACATTAAATATGACGATAGAACCAGATGTAGGAGATGTAAGTTTAGTTTAGCTTGGATTATGGAAGCTTAGTATAAAGATTTGAAGAAAGTGGGAAACAACTAACCTGGCTGTGCCAAAAATGTAAATTACACACACAATTTGGGATTTTTCAGCGGGTCATTTACTACAATAATTTGAGTCAGTTACTTTCTGGAGTATCTCCAAGACTATAAGCCTGTCTTAGCTGCTTGTGCTTATTGTTTGCTGGCTTTGATTTTATTGGTAATGTGAGTGTTACTATTCCTTTACTCTCCTACCGTGAACCTCCAGGCTGACTGTGATGTTCGTGGAGCCTGCCACATTAACCGCAGTGCACACATAAATCCCAGTGTCCTCTGGGATGGCTCTTTCGATGTACAAACTGCCATCGCTCCTCAAGAACATCCTTCTGTTCAGATGGAACTGTGCAAACGAAAAAAGTAAAAATATTCCTGTCATACACAAACACAGATATGATCCATGGGAGAGGCAGGTTTGAGTTTGATGTTTTTACCAGCCTTACAGGTTTTCCATTCTTGGACCAGTGTCTTTCTGGAAGAGGAATTCCATCCAACAACATGCAAGGAATACTAAGTGACTGACCGCTCCCGGTGGTGATCACTGGGGCAACTTGGGCCAATAGAGGTGGCTCTGCAAGAAAAAGGATTTGAAATGATTATTAAACAACAAGAGCAGGAATATATGTGTTACAGCCACAGTGTCCTTCTGTGTGTTTCTGCTACATGCATATATGGGATCACAAAAAGAGCCTACCCAGTCCAGTGACACTAACTCTGGCCTCAGATTTGATGGTTCCAAACTGGTTCTTGGCCTCGCAGATGTATAGACCTTCATCATCCAGCCAGACACCTACAGTCAAACACACATCATTGAAAAATGCACCCCGCCGCACATTACAATACATCTCAGAGTAGCAGCATCATCACACTTACCAAGAAAGAAAACAGTCTATCTAAAAAAACTAAATAAGTTCATGCTAATAGCAGCTAAGACCCCTACTCAGTAACAACGGGTATTATTGGCCTGACAGTGCTGTAATTAGGAGCTAAAAATAGAAAATAACAGGATTAATGGGTTTGGCTCAGCTGCTATCCTGCTGTCCCACTCAGTAAATTCTCTTGAGATCACATCTTGGAAGATCAACATGTTTCAATTCTTCTGTCCTAGCAAATATTGAAGGATTCCAGGATAAAGCATTAAAGGTAACCCGTGAGGAGCACGATTCAAGGAGATAGTGGCGTTTGAGCACTACGCAATATGAACAGAGACATTTCTGAAACTGCAGGTAAAAAAAATAAAATAAAGCCATCTGTAGCAGATGGAGCCAATCAGGTCAGAGGGCAGCCGCAAATGGAAACAGTGACAGAAACGGCCCATGTAAATATGTCTGTTCCTGTCCAATATTATATTTCACACTATAAACATTTAGTCTCAGGAGCACAAAGCATCACGGTATGTGGCTAAGAATAGTCATGTTTCAGGCTGAAATATCTTCCAGAGTTCACAGCTTTGATCCCCCTGCCCTGATGAGGACAAAGACAGACGCCTTCTCTTGCCAAATAATTAACAACATTTTAAGGAGAGTCTTTTCACAGAGCAGAGATAATGCTTTTAGCAGGATGGATATTCGAGAGGCATCGGTTTACTGTAACTTTACCAATGGCAATGACATTCCGGCTCTCCCGCCTCTTAAGAAAATGTTAGCTGGATTTAATATGATACTCTTCTATATATACTTGCACAATTTGAGTCAAGCCAGTTCGAGCAGGGAAACCGTGAGGCTGCCGCACAGCACACCAAAGCTCTTTGCTGTGATAACTCACTCTGGATTAGAAGATGTCCGTTCTCCAGCTGCATTGTTTTACTGTGGCTGTCTGAACGCATGAGAATCTGTCTGCCATCCTGTCTGCGCCAGGTCACCGTCGGCTGCGGGAATCCCCGGGCAGTGCAGGGGAGGGTGATATTCTCCCCGACATTGGCTGTCACGTCAGCCGGTGCCTCGGAAAACAATGGACCCGCTGTGGAAGGAAGAGTGGTGCCAGATGGATGTTTTTTCCTTTGTATAAATGTGAGAGAAATACAAGTTTTATGTGGAAAACTATAGTGTGGCCTCACCTCCAACCACCAGACTAACAGTGCCAGAGGAGGTTCCAGCAGAGCTGCTCGCCACACAGCTGTACTGACCAGCGTCGACCTCCTGCACGCCACGAATGTGCAGCGTCCCACGATGTACGTCCTGCTCAACAAAAGGGGCAGAGCCCACCTCGAGTTCACCTGGAAGTACGAGCAATATAAGCTTGTCGTCCTCTAACAGAGACATCTCCACAGTCATTTTAATAAAAGCACTGTGTATGGCGTTAACTCACCTTTGAACCAGTGGACAAGAGGGGACGGAAAGCCTGTGGCCTGACACTCGAGAGTTGCATCACCACCAACAGTCACTAGCACAACCTGCTGTACCACTGTTATTCTTGGTGCCTCTGCAGAACAAAAAAAAATCAGTGGGATGAACTTTTTATTCCAGGGATGTCCAACTCATTTTACATCATAGGCCTCGGGACTTTGATTTTAAACGGACCAGTGAAAATCCCCTTTCTATCGGTGCAAAGGAGTTTAACTGCACATTTAAACCCTGCGATATCTCAATGTAAGAAAAAGAAGTGGAATTTCAAAGGTGCGTCTCAGTTTTTCCACGTGATAAAGAAACGCTGCTATAGTAAAATAAAGAAATTTGTCAGCATGACTCTGTGGACTTAAACTGTAACAAATAAATGTGTAAAGTTACAGAAGTACTGATAGTTCGTGGGCCAGATTCTCCTGTGGTTTTAAAGTGGGGCATTTTTGTTGTTCTATTTTATTCATTTATTTAATTGTTTAATTGCAAATTCTATTTCTGCATTACTTTGGTTTAGTATGAATGGCTGTTGGGGAGGTCTATCAGTAGGACAAGCTTACAGTTTAAAGTCCAAAATTTATGCTCTCCTTCACATTTTCTAAAGACATCTAGTGGAGTTTTTGTTGGGCCAATTCTGCCCCCCGGGCCTTATGTTAGGCCCCCCTTTTTTTAGTTTATAGCAATGCACCAGTCTTTCATGCAGCGCTACTGTACGTGAACAGTAATGTGCTGTTTGTTTATACCAGCAAGGGCATGAGAAAAACCCTGATGTGAATGTAAAAATGATGCTTATACTTTAGACCCAGGCAGCTGAGCTGAAACGATGAGATGATCTACTGTGTTATAAGGTTTTCCCTGATTTGACAGATCAGTGTTGTTAAAAATGACATTCAGAGACAAGTGCGTATAATACCAGCAAGCCCCAGGAAAATGCTGCCATAATCCATCAGTGTTACGGTTTCTGTCAAGCACTAACTGACAGCCGTGAGTGAAACTTCAGGCCCACAACTGTCAGCGCTCACCAAACAAGGAGAGAAACATCACGTCGTGTGAGACAGAGCTGTATGTGGCCATGTTCGCTTGCTGTATACTCTGCTCTATCCTGCTGGATATCATTAAAAGAAATGCGCCTTAAAAACAGTCAACACGGGCAAAAATGCTTCGTGTCACTGGAAGTTAAAAATGAAGTCAGAAGAGAAGCAATTATTCAGAACAGAAACTTTAACAACTCCGAATGACGAAAGGCTAATTCCAGCAACAATATATCTTCGCGCTGGCATCCTCAACCAGACATCTGTCGGGATGTGTTGACTTACCCGCATAACTAAGTGACACAGACTGAGAGGCAGTCCCAGCCTCGTTGCTTGCCAGACATGTGTAGTTCCCAGCATCCTCTGGGAGAGCCCCTTTAATGGTTAGAACTCCATGCTGGTTCAGACTGAACCTGTAGCATACAGTGGACAGGATTCATGTTTGTTGATACTTTTGTTGATTACAAGCGCAGATGTAAAACAGAGATCCATCTCTCTGAATCTTTATGCTGCTGTTTGGTGTCACGGGAGAAATTTGTGTGTGTACGAATGTATATTTCACTGCTGACATATAAAATACTTGTGGTTTGGGGGGAAAAAAAAGGGTTGACATGAGTAGATGTAAATTTCCAAAGCGATGCAAACAAGATGAGGCGATGGCGCATGTAGGTCAAGTGGAACGTAATGACTCTCTGAGTCCTTTGTGCCAGAGGTGCCGAGTGGGCTGAGAGTTCCCCTCTTACCTCGGCCGATTAGTTAGGAACACGTTGCCTTGGCTCCAGAAGAGCCGGGGAGGGGGGGAGCCGGACGCCGAGCAGACCAGGCGGATCTCATCGCCTTGGGAGAAAGCCAGGGACTGCGGGTGCACTACCACAGAAGGAGCCTCTGCAGTTGAAATCAAAGGAAGACAAAAAATTAAAAAAAAAATAAAAAGCAGACGATGACTCAGGGCCTTGTCACAGGCTGCATGATGTCATTTATAGCTATCACAAGCTTAACAAGAGCAAACTTGATGCTGTGGGCTGCAAAGCAATTACAAAAACACTCCATGTCTGACTTCATAACTACAGGATATTCTTGAAGACATATTTATTTGCCTGTTTGTTGAAGTCATTGCAAATATCTGAGTGCATTCCCTCAGTAGACGCCACACTTTTCAACACGCATAAGTCTTTGCTGATGAGAAAAGGAAGTGGCTTAATCTGATTGCAAGGAGGTCGAGGCAATAATGGAAAACAGATGACGGGGGCCCGCGAGGATCCGTTAAGCCCTGCCGCGTTAAATGTTTAAGCAGATGAGCCGCAGGGTATTGGGCTATCATACCTGGGACGTGGACCCACACGGCGATTCTGCTGTCTCCGTAGGCATTGGTTGCCACGCAGCGGTACTCCCCAGCATCCTGAGCCCGCACAGCGCTGATCTGCAGGTAAGAGTTGGGCAGCAGCTTCACCCTCCCTGCCCGTGCCCGGATAGCATAGCCCCCACGGTGCCAGGTCAAATTGTGGCGCATGTTTCCCTCCACCTGACAGGACAGCACAGCCACACCTCCCACAGAAGATGTCACATTCACTGGGGGCTTCAAGACCGGAGGAGGATCTGTTTTAGTGGAAACATGAGTGCAGACAATGTTTAAAACAAATATTTGTGCAGACATGCTTTCTATCTAGTTTATGTCTAAACGATAAAGCAGAGGTTTGTATCTAAATGGCTGGAACGCACCCACGTCCAACTGAAGGGGAGTGTGCGCTTGCATTGTTGTTGTGTGACATACCTCTAACAGTTAACTGTGTTACAGCCCACCCCTGCCCTGCGCTGCTCTGCGCCATACACTCATACGGGCCTTCGTCCTCGGCTGATGCCTTCGGAATTTCCCATGATGCAACGGCAGAATACCTGAAGCAAAGACACGTTTGGTTTATTGGCCAGCACATATTCCTCTTATTTCATGTCACACCCAGTGGCTCTTTGGCACATCCACGCACTGGAAATAATTTTCATCAAAAGTCAGCTGCACTTCATGAAAGTAATTCAAGCCAGAGAGTCAACACCAAGACAAAATAGTTGCTTTGTTAAATTGAGTATGTGATGTTTAGAAAATCAACTGTGTATATATCCACTTGTTGACAGATGAACCAATAAAATGCAAGAGTGAGGCAGCACTAATGCTTTACAGGCGTGCCCACTGGTAAGATTAGGGAGTGACTTAATTAATGCTTTTAAATGAGGTAATAGGCACGCGAAGCTTCGGGGATCTGAGGGAATCGGAAGGAAGGCGAGCCAAATGTTATGGAGTGCTGAGCAAATAGAGAAGAGACTCACTGAAAGAACCTCTCGCTTCCCAGTGTAATTCCACTTCTGGTGAATCTTAGTCTGTAGGGAATGTCACTCTTTACAGAGCAGCCAATCACAGCTGGCTGCATATAAACGCCCTTCACTACAGTCGACATGCTCACAGCTGGAGGATCTGCACAAGGGAGGAAACAAAGGTTAAAGGCTATAAAGAGATTGATGAGGTATGGGAGACACTGCAGTGTGGCTTTGGTGAAGAGGGATGCCGTGCCTGGAATGATGTTGGTGTAGGAGACGCTGGACAGCCTCTGGAAGCGGTAGCCCTCTTCGTCTTTGCCCGTTACCTTGATGAAGAAGCTCTGGGAAGGGGTGCGGAATTCCGGGAGACTCCACAGGCCTTGTTTTCCAAGGTCAGAGGGCAGCGGTACAGGGATCGTTCGCAAGGAGCGGCCTGAGCCTGACACAAGCTCCACATGGCTCAGATGACCTGGAGGCTTCAGGCCGGTGCATTTCAGTAAAACATGGGATGGGAGCCCTGAAGGACAAAGGAAGATCGGCATGAGGTAATTTTCTGCACATGGTCTCGGTCAAATAAAAGGCAAAGAGCTAACAGACACATGCCAGACACCTTTTATCGGCCTCTCTCTCGTGTGGTTGAACTCTGTAACAGGTACGCTGGAGAAGCCTGCGCGGAAGTCGAGACTGCTGACTCCTGTGACCCTCAGAGTGTGACGCCCACTACAGCTTATCTTTAGAGTGAAACGTGTGAAGTGAATTCAGCATCATAAAAAAGTCAGACAAAACACATTTGTGATTTATTCACCAAAATAAATACCTTCAGTTTCCAGGCACCGGGTCTAGGAAACTTGAGGTTTATCACACGAGCTGAGTTGGGAATATTCAAAAGTTCTTTAAGGCCCTCCTCTACACCAACTACCCGACCTTGGAAAAGGAAACATAACAGATGTTATTTCAAAGAAAAACATGACTTTCTTTAAAAGCACTGATAATGCTAGGAGTAGATAAGAATAAATAGGAAAAGCAGGAATGAGTTACCCAAAGGATCGCTGAGCTCGATTTCTGGTGCTGGTCCACTGAGTGACACCGTGACCTCTCTGAGGCTTGGGTCAAAGGGAACTTCCCAGTTGTTTTCCTGGGCACTGTCATGATTGGAGGACAGAAGGTGGACCTTCATGGCCTGAACTGTTTCCTCTACCCACTTTAAAACCTGGCAGGAGGCAAAACACAGCATTTGCAGGAGCACAACCAAGCAAGATATTCCTGAGTGCATTAATCAAACTGTCAGAGAGGTAAACTTCAAAAGGCAGGAGAGGGACAGGAAGGACGCACTGGCCTTAACTCCGAAAGCCCCCACAAAGCCCTTGCTTTTCCCTGTTCTTCGTCTTTCGGACTATTCTTTCATCACAAAACTATTCATGAGACGGATTTTGCCTAAACAAAGGAAAAGTGAAGCAGCTCAGCTGTCAAACTGATAACATACAGTTTTCTGCACTTTCAAGCACGTATTCCCAGAAAAAGTGTCTCTCACAGTGGAAGCCTGTCAGGCAGCAGTCCCGCTGCAGCGGCGCAGGTTTTATTAATCATAAAGCTTGTTCCTCAGAAGACAAAGCGGAAGCGGTGGATCGGGTTGTGGGAACGGCCGTGGTTTTGAATTAAACCTAAGCATTAAACTGAATCAGGCAGGCGTTTCACACTTTTCTGCTGAAAGGTTTAAGCTGAAGAAGTCTGATGAGGTCAGACAGTGACTCTCTTCTTAGTCATTCCACCACTTTGAGCAAAGATTGCAGAAAGGTTGAACAAGCTGATTGTACATGATGGTAAAAACAGTCATTACTTAGACTTTAATTTCCCTCAGCAGCTCTCCACAGGAATCTGTGATGTTACAGGATTTCAGCTTTGACAGGTGCTTGACCCTCTGGGTGTAATCATCAGTGAGGTACTGATTAAAAATGCAGTTTCTCTTTTGTCTTCACTCAAATCAAAACAGAAGCACAGCAAAAGCCCACTGACTTTTCATGGAGTCCTATTTCAGCGGTCACAGCAAACTAAATTTCATCCATCTTCCAAACGCTTAACAAGCAGCTGCTGTCTAATATTTGTTTTCACCTCGTATTGAGAGGCATCACGGTTTAACTGTGCCTGTAATGAAGCCAAATGAAAACATTTCCTCGGCAGGCCCTTCAGAGATGAGGCCAACACCAACACGTTTTACGACACAGACGTAAAAATGAAACAGGGAAAGCCTTTGATAATTTAATTATCAGCCCTCGACTTCTCCTCTATCGGGTCTGCAAGGTCCTGACAGCAGCTGGTTCCTCTTGCCATTTTACAACTGGAAACAGCTGTAATGTCTGCCACGTGTGCAGTCGTCACAGTCAGAGCAGGAAACTGCTTAGAAGTGACCCACATCTATGTCTGTGTCTTATGCGGTAGAGCAAAGAGGAGTGGGCATTTCTCTGCCCTCGGACCTCAGATGAAAGAGAAGAAGAGCCCAGAGGTGGGGCCAGTTCCCTGTCTGGGCTGGCCTGCAGGGTCTAGAAGAGCCGAGCGCCGTAGCCTCTCCCTGGCTCTACCACTGGGAATGCAAAGGACCTTAAGTCCCCGTGAAACCTCATCCAGCGTGTCTCAGATGATCAGGCTTACAGGGCTGTAACAGGAAAGACCCCCTGCTGCTATTCATAGAAGCATGACAGATGGGGCAGAGAAGAAGTGTTACCTAAAGCTGGGGTGATGGTGTATTCCCCACATCGATTCAGGTACATTACCTGAAGAAGAAAATGCGTGACCGCGCCACTGTAAGGTAGAACAGCTTGCCTCCAGACCTCCCAGCGGGCTAGAGGTCAGCTCTGTCTTTACGCAGGTATAAACACAGCATTTACCAGATATTTGCATGAAGATGGCCCGCTCCAAATCAAGGTTATTAAAGTAAACGAGACCCAGACAGATCCCCTGCTCCTTCTGAGTGGGAGTTTCCACATAGAGAGGCTCAGCTACAGGATAAGCAGTGCTTTTGTTTAGCCGGACTGTGGGTAAAAGGTACCTAGATTTTATGCCTGGCAACCATTACCATTGCCATTTCCCTTAACTCGCTGCAGCACCCATAATCAGAAAAGACCCCGAGACTAATCTTATAAACAACTCATCAAGGTGCTCGAGTTATCCATGTATGCACCAACTACAAACACAAAACTAATAAATCTCAGGTCTTTCTCTGAGCGAACATCACATCACCCAGTAAAACATCACATTCCTCATTGTTCTTCAGCACTTTAGGGCACTTAAGAATGCAGATATTTTTAAATGTTCAACACTTTAAAGACAGCGGTTCTCATTGCCTGTGTTCTGTGTTACCATTTTCACTCACTTATCATAACCAATCAAAATTTAAAGCGCGTAAAGAGCGTGTTACACAGAGCTGACAATAAACTGTTGTGCGAGGACCTGGAGCCAATTCCACTGGGCAGCTGTGTTGGAAGAAGCGAAACCATGAAAGATCACATCCTGGGATTAGAGAGTAAAATAAGCAGTCTGTTTTCTCTGCGCTGGCCCCCCTGGAGACCACAAAAAGACACTGTATATTTCATTTGGCTGCACATTATTAAACTACTATTAATGGCGAATATTTTGGTTAGATTTGTACTACTTCTGAGGATTTTTAAGGGATTAAAGGATTTGCATTAATTTGGTAAAAGCATGCCACCCAGGAGCTAAAAAAATCATACAGGTTAAAAAAAGAGAAGCGACTGACAGACAGCGTAAATCCAAGAGGGGAAAAAAAACCTGTTTATATGAAAATGTACACAAAGACTATGTTCAAAATAATAGGGCTACATTAGCACAAAGCCATCTGGTGTTGAGGTATAAGGTCTAGACTACATTTGGTCCCCTGTTCCCTTAATACGACAACACTAAAATGACTTTTAAGCACTCCTTAAACAGCTGGTAGGATTATGGAGTGATAATGAAACGAGCTGCCACACACACACACACAGGCATTGTATGTCTAGCTATATGCAAGCATGACTTGACAGGAAACAGACCCCCCCACACACACACAAAGACCCACACAAACACATCTGAGTTCAGAGGTTCAGTGGGCCACCAGTGTGCAGAGCTGTTGGCTCCAGCTCAGCGCTGCCCAGCCATCTCCTGTGTTGACATGTAGGATACCAGTGTCTCTTCCAGAGGAAACTCTGGCTTCTTTTACGTCTGCTTGGGAAGTGAGCCCCGCTGTCTTTGGCTTCTGAGACTCAGCTCCTGTTACATGCTGCTTCCGATATAAAGGAACCACCGGCCCGTATCGTATGACCAGGAAGTTTAATATCAGCACTGGAATCATTTGATTAGGCTAAATGAATTCCTCATTATCATCTATTATCGGTGGGTCAAATGGGAGTTGATGTTGTTCTGCTCCTGCTCTCCTCTGTTATTAGAAAATATCACCCCTTTCATATTCAAATACACTAGAGAGTTCCAATTTAGGGGCTAATTCATTATGTGTGAGGGCTTAATGGGGGTTCGGTGGCCAGTCGTCAGAGCGCACGGTTACTCTGCCTTGCTCTCACCTCGTTGACCTGCTGCTTATCCAAGTGAAAGATTTGCCCAGAGGAGGTGGCGGCGATCTCCTCGTACGCCCTGTAACCAGGCTGAGAGCGGTCTCCACAGTCCCCGGTCAACACAAATACTACCTGGGAACGAAGAGGACAGAGGAGTTAAGAGGATTACATTTGTTGAGTGTTTGCTTTCTGCTGAGTCGCTTTCACTTTGCTCCAAATGCTCATTGTCATGCATCATGTAGGGGCTGAGACGAGCAACTTTCCTGCACTCAGCTGATCCCGGGAACTTCTTTGGAATGCAGATGGTTTTTCTTTTTTACAGCATTGCTGTTGTATCCCTTTTGTGACAGCGTGCAATAAATGCAGAGACTCTAAAGACAGTGTGGGATGGGGTTCGTGTTTGTAGGTTCAACAGTGTTCCAGATAACATCAGTTAAATGGCATCTTGATCATTATGGGAGTATTCAGCACCAGTGAATACAAATGAGATGCTTGTGGGCATGTTTTTATTTTCTTTTAATCAGTTTACATACCATAGATTTGATCAAAGAGAAGCCTGCATCTATCGGATGTTTGACATTGAATAAAGAGCACACATTGGACTGATTAAGTATGTATCAGTTTTGTCCTGATGTATAAGAGGCCTGTTTAAATTCCCTGCCTTGTACCTGTGATTGACGGAGTTGCACCAGTTGCAGAACATCTCTCTTCAGGCGGTAGTCTTTGGCCCTGGCATCAGTAAACACATAGATAAAGGATCCAGGCAGGGAAACCTCCAGTGCTTTCTTTATGGCTCCGATACTCATTTCAGGGCAGTCGCCTCCACCCTGTGTGATAGAATCACATTTGCTTAAAAACTCCAGAAAAAAAAATCATATATTTATATTTTTTAAATGTTCATTCAGATATCGTGTTGTTGAACACATCCATTTTGTGGAGAGACACATCAAATGTTTCTTAAATACGTTTAAATCACTACCCATAAAAGCAGCACTAATTTACTTTTGAAAGAAGAAAGAACCAGTCCCATAAACGATGTGCCTTATATGAGTAAACATTTGAATAACTGTTCAATTCAGTACAATCTGGGGTTCTTAACATTCAACAGATGTGCTGCTTATCATGATTACAGTTTTAGGGGCTGGCAATCCACATACTGTTCACCATAATCTAAAGGTTTCATTCGTACAAAATTATTAATTTATGTAATCTGTGTCTGAACCTGGACAAACAGCTCTTGCAGATCCTGCTGGAACTTCTTTGGGTCGGTGGTGATGGACACGGGGCCGATATCTGTCAGATTAAAAATATACATCAGGAAAAAAAACCCTTTCTGTGAAGAAAATCAAACCCAGTCAGCCGGTTCTGTTCTGATTTCTGAAGAGTGTATGCCTATACAGAACAGGATAATCATTGCAACCACAAAACGCCTATGGTCTGGAATTTTTAGAAGGGAGAGCGTTTGTTTGTTTCCTCTTAGCAGCTTTGCCCTTATGAGCAGAGGAAAAGCACACAGCATCAAAAACCCTATTAAGCCAAAGCACATTTTATCAAGGCCAGAATGATGCCCCACAGCCTTTGTGCACCACATGAATATCAATCACACATCACAGGGCACAAGAGAGGCCGTGCTGACAAAATTACAGCGTAACATTTTGTTTTACACAAATCACTAAAAATCTGGCGACAGTTTGCACGATGACGGAATAATCATTTTCCAGACCCAAGGATGATGGATAAAAGCCTGTCAGGGCCTGACACTTATTTGGATGTCTTCTGGGGCCAAACTACAGAACAGTAAACATTAACCAGTGCAGAGGGAATGCATTGTGTTGCTGCCCTCCATAAACACGAGCACTTCATCACAGTTATTACAGAAAAAGACCCTCATCCAGTCTTGTATACCTCATGATTTTGGTGTGTCATTGCTCTTTATTCCAACTGTCAAATATAATTTTGAAGTATCTTTGTGAGACTAATGATACAGAGTTTGCAGACATGTGTCAGGGCCATGACATTTCTAATTCATTCTCGGTGTTTTCTCCAGCTGCTTTCAAGTGCTTGTCGACCTCTCAAGAGTGCCTGAGAGGAAACACCGACGGCGTTGTCACGCCTCTTCGTCAGCCACAGAGGGCTTCTCTGGGATCTTGGAAGTTTACAAGGTCCCCCAAGGGCATAGGCGCATTAAACACAGACAAAATGTGTGGCGTTAGGGTAGGCAACCCCCCCCCCCCCCCCAACTCCCCAGTGGGGGGGCTGCGAGGCAGAAGAGGGAGGAGAGGCAGGAGTAGGGTGGGGTGAGTGTGGGGTGGCGATTGGGGTAATTACACACAAGCAGACAGCATATGCTTCCCATCAGCGCACAAACACCCTCCCCCCATTGGAGCACTCTTATTTTCAAGCTGCAGCTTTCCCGTATAGAAAGGAAGATGCTGGGCTGGGATGAAGAGCCTTACCTGTCCCCAAGACCCACTGTGAGCTCACATATCCTCCCCTGCTTGACGTCTTGCATCAGTTTCACTTCTCTCTACAAGTGGGCTTCCACTGAAGCCGCTATGCAGCAGCACACTCTGCTACACGTTCTGAGATGCGTTGCAAGTATAAGTGTGTAAATGGCAGATATAAATAGTAAATCAGTGCAAGGCGCGGAAACTATAAAAATACCACGCTCTCTTTGTAGTAATTCAAGAAAGTCTTTTCCTTTGAAGTCAATGCTCCAATAAATTATAATCATATTCATGAATTAACAAACATACGCATTCCATACATCCACTTTCACGAAAAAAAAAAGTTTCTTAAGTTGTGGCTCTTTAGTTAAAGAACAAACTTGTGTTAAAGGTAGAAAAAGTACCTGGGTCGTGGAAGGGGACCAGGACAAAGTTTTTAATGGGTCTGGTCCTCCGGCTGAGCGTCTTCTCCAGGATCCGTGAGGCGCCCTCTATCACCTGTTTCAGATCGTCGTACATGGAGCCGGTAACATCGAACACAAAGGCCAGGGTCGAGGCGCTGTCATCGGATTCATCACCCGGCTCAACGCGGGGGTCTGCCAAAAGTCTGTGCGCGCATAATGAGAGCGCCAAGACTAAGCACTTTAATAAGGCACCGGCCATTTTCCAAATTTACTGCATCTGTCTTTTGGAATAAGGCGAGTCATATATTTTTAAAAAAAGGATCACAAAGTTTTAAAAAGTTTTGATTTCGAAGCCGCCCAAATGACTCTGGCACTGCTTCTAGTAGATTTAGAACAACGCGGCTCAGCTGAAACACTTCAAAATCCAGTGCTGAATACTTCCACGGGAGTACATCCGTGCGTAAAGTTTGGAGGAGCATGTGGACTGGCTCTGCGTTGGAGAGCCCCAGGAGAGCTGGTGCTCTGACGCTTCAAACGGGGGCGGAGATGGGTATTAAAAAGTTCCCGGGACCCAACCTGTTTTTTTCTCCTTTCCTTCGTGTGTTTGTGTGAAAGTGTGTGTGTGTGTAACTCGACCCCACTGTGACTTCCAGGCTTCTTTAACCCTATTCAACATTTCCCGTCAGTTTATTTTTCTCTACAATGGCGGTGGGCCCCTGGAGACGCACTTTTTAACAGCTTTCCCCTGTTACCAGCGGGGCCTGGCGTCTGTATTTTGGACGTGTCGAGAACATTGTCTCAGTAACAGCCTGGTTTTTATAAATAGCCATAGTTTATATTCAGCTGACATCAACCTAATTTTATACATAGCCCACGCTGACAAATATCTCCTTGACATATGAATGAAGAGCAATGTCACTGTGCTTCTTTTCTTTTCTGCTGATGTGGATGAAATGTTATTGATCATTAAAAATGTTATCCTCGTGGACTTGGTGCCCAGCTATGATATATCGTTTTTAATGTGATCAGACCTCACAGAGGAAGCCACCACCCACCCCCAGATCTTACAAACGCAAATATGTCAGCTAATTCCAAAGTAAGCTGCATAAAAGCAGAACATTTCTTTTAAGAAACTGATTATTCACATGAAAACACACTCGTGTTTTACTGTACTTAAGTTACACATGCTACATTTGAAACTTATGCTGAATAAAAAAAAAACCCCCGTAAAGAAACAGTTTCAGGTCAAGGCCCCAGACCCTTCCTCCTCTTGAATACACCTGCATCTGTCCTTCATGAAAAGGGGGGGGATAAGAGACAAGAGAAGAAAGAAAGCGGGTCTGAGCAGGCCCGGAGAGCCCAGCAACTTTAAAAGATACGAGCCCCACCCATTAAACCCATCAATGCCAAGACGTCAGAGTTTTATGCACTTCATTGTTCATCACATAACTACACAGTGCAGGCTTATACCACAGAGCAAGCTGGCATGTTAGATTCTGTGTTATAAAGCATTACAGGCACTAAAGCTTGACATGACACCTTCCCTTAACAGTGGTACAGCAGTGCAAAACTGGACTCATAATAAATTACATTTGAATCACAAAACATCAGGGTCTGTGCAAACTTGAGTTACTTCTTGAGAGTTGATTAAGATTTGTAAAGTTTAAAATATTGCAAATAAACACATGAGCAACAGTCAGTCATTCTACAAAGCAGCCCCTTAAAGTTATTAAAAGCTGTTATATAAATATAAATTTTTTTTTAGATATATATTATATATATATATATATATATATATATATATATATATATATATATATATAATATATATATATAGTATATATATATATATATATATATATATATATATATATATATATATATATATGAGAAAGTTTTCTATCCATTACAAACTAAGGATACAGTAATAGAAAAGATAGCCACTTAAATGCATTTTATTCTGTGCTCTTATACTGTCAATCAACAGGAAAATGACATTTAGAATTTAGTAAATTTGCATAAGGCATAAAGATCAGTGAAGCTGAAAAACATCTTAATGCTCAAAATAAAACAATCCAACAGAGAAAAAAAAAAGGCATCAATACATGCGCAGGTCTCACACAGAACAAATACCAAGCAGACAACTGAAACCACAGAGCTCACAAAAGCTTCACAGTCAGAAATGATGTCCGTTTGTGCCTCTCAGTGACCACGGCTTTGTGTTGCTGAGGGTGCTCTCTAAAGAAATACTGAGCTTCAATTCGGCTGCTGTGAGAACCGGGCTGGGCTGCTTGGCCGGGCCATTCGAGAGGCGGGGGCAGCAGAGTGAACAACAGCAGGGAGACTGAACCACGATGGGATGCACGGGCTGCAAACACAGCAAAATAATCCATAGAAAACTCTGTGCTACTTCAAAATTCCTCCTCACATGAAAAAACAAAACAAAAACCCTGCTCTCTCGAGAAAAGGAAACCTCGGGGCGTGACAAAAATGAGAATCGGGCAACAATAATGAAAAATACAGTGCAATACATTTCAACAACCTTTGATTTAAAAATAAAACTTCATTCCATATTTATGAGGAAATTCCCATAAATGCAGCAAAAAAAAAAAAAAAAAGCAGAAAATAAATTACCATTATATTTACATTATATAATACACACTATACTGCTTTGTATCTTTAAGTTAGTGTTCACATTATCACAAAAGTAACACTTTCTTCCCCCCCGACAGATTCTCCTGTGGTTTAGAGTCTCTCTGTGTGGTGATGAAGCAGCAGCACAGTTCCTCTGAGTGAGCAGTTCACTTTGCATCTGCCGCTTTACAGCATGTGAACAAGATGCACACGAACATCTCCACAGGAATTCAGTACCTCGCACTACACAATACTCCAAAGTCCACAGTTACTCAAGGGTGTGATGCGATGCTGCGTAGCTGCAGAAGCACGCACAAACGACGGAGGGTTTTGCAGACAGGTTTGGATTTGCTATCACATCAGACGATATATTTGTTCACAGTCCGCTATTGGAAACGCAGATGGGCAGATACTTGGGAGTAGAAAAGTTTGCAATCTGCTTCTGGGTGATCGAGTTAAAATGTGGCTCCCTCCCATTATTAGTGTGATGGTGCTGCACTGGTGTGTAACGGACAGTGGGGGGGAAGCTGAGTGGGATCCATCTGAGGTGTAAGAGGGATGTGAGTGGAGCAGTTGAGTTATGATACCTGGTTGTGTTCAGAGCATGCTGGGTAATCACTAACAGAGCTGCTGTGTTACTACAAAAAAAAAAAAAGTCTTCACAAGCTCACTTCACAGTTGACAAAACGCGGAGCAGGATGTCAGCAACAATTGGCAGCAGCCAGTGCATTACATTAGCCAGTGAGAGGAGGTCCCGTCTCGCTCTTCGTTCAGCGCTGCAAGAATATTTGATTGCCAGTAAACAAATGAGCCAGATGAATAATTCATAAGAACAAACTCAAGAGCAGAAAGTGGCATCTTCACTTTGGTTTCAACCCGCAGACTGAAGTTCCTTTCTGTATTCTTTGCTCTGAAGAAATAGAAATTACACAGCATTACTGTGAGGCTGAAGCATGACCGGGAACTGAAAAATCACCCAGGTAGGTATGCAGGTAGCAGCTGATTAATACCCCACTCACCTTACATTCCTACACAAGTCCATCATAGAGTGATAATGCCTGAACAATTGAGGGATCTGCCTTTGATCCTTCCTGAAACTCCTGCAGAGTCAGCTTCCCGTCTGCATTCTGCAACACGACACAAAAACAGAAAAATATATCGAGCTGAAGCCCTGTGATGCTTTTACACACACCTTCCAGCAGGGGGCAAAAAGCATCTCAGGCCATGTCATGTTGCCCCTATTCTACGCTATTGGGACTGATGTTTGGTTCAGTGCACTTGGACAGTCGCCACTCTCAGCTAATACAAATCACTAAGTGCTGCTGTGCTGCACAGTTACTCCTATGGGCTGATCTTGGCAGTAGTGAGCTGACAAACACGCCCATGCAGGCAGCGTCTCATCTTTCACTAAAGCTGAGTAGATTCTTGGAGCTGACAGAGCGGGCACCAGCACTGAGCGCTAGAGGTGGAGGAGAATATATATATATATATATATGATGTTTATAGACTGCAGGCGGTGTTAGTGACACTGTGATGAATACAGCTAACAGCTCTAAACTTAACAGCGCCCATATCAAAGCCCCGAGGGTGGCAACAAAGGTAGACGAAAGCCCCTAATAAAGTTAAACTCATGACTATATCAATGTCAGTCTCAATGAATATCAGATATTGCTCTATCACTATTTACATCTCTAGTACTCAAACACTGACCTTATCCATCATTGCAAAAATGCGGTCCACACGCTTCTCTGGTGTGTTTTCTTCCTCAGGCAACTCCACAGTGTTCCCCTACGACATCAGCAACATCATAATGCTTCATATGGTGTTTGCATTAAAACGAGTCAGAATTAGATCTCTAATGTTTGGGAAAACTTACCACCATCTGATATATGGCATCTACAATGTTCAACATCTCGTCTCGGGTTATGTAGCCATCATTGTCGAGATCATATAATTTAAAAGCCCCTGTACAAAGACAAGAAGTTAAAATATGTGGGCTTCATGTGGGTGAAAAAGGAGGATAAATATCGTCACACTTTGTCACAGGTTTAAAAAGTAAGTCAAGGTTTTATTTGCCGTTTTTCTCTCTAGAAGTCTGTACTCCTGTCATTTAAATATTAACAACAAGAGAGGAGATTCCATCTTCTTACATCGCAGCTTTTCATCTAGAGTCCCCCGGGAAGTCACTGACAAGGCCTGGATGAACTCGGAGAACTCGATGCGTCCATCCTGCAGAGCGACCGAGAGAGGGGAGAGAAAGAGAGTGAAGAGAAATGGCCCAGAGACAAGACGAGGCTCTCACTTCACACTTGCAGTGGCTGTACTTTCACAAACTCTGTCCTGTTCTTTTCATGATGTCCTTGCTGGATTCTTCTGAAAATGGGGCCAGACGTTTGCTCCAAGTCAGATGCTATTTTTTGCCTCGCACCTGGCTCTCTCCTGAGGTAGAAATATGTCACCTCTGGTCATTAGTAAGAAGAATGCTACTGGCTCAAAGTCTAAAAATTACAGCAGGCAAACATACGACCACAACATACGTGGAGCAAAGACGCCTCGCATTTTCCAGTCATTTCACATCACGAATGGACGCGAGTGATCATTCTGTCCAACGGGGCAGGAACTGTTCCACTCTGAAATTTAGTTTTCTCTAAGTGTTGTTAAAATGTGACTCGCTGAGCTAAAAAACCAAAACAAAACAAAAAACCCCACAAAAAAAAGACGAATTACACTTTTAAATCCACACTTTGTGCATCAAAGAGTGGTCTACTGACTTGATTCTAAATCATAAAAACACAACTCAAAGTTTCTCAGAGGCCATTAATTCAAACCAATCCATCATGTTATGACTTCCTGTTTCAAGCAGCTGACGGAGTCTGTCGTCTTCCTACATTCTGCTAAGTCAGCTGCCCACTGCAAGTTTAGCCACAGTATTCTTTAAAGCAGGGAAAAAAG